GTCCTTGCACTGTTACCCGCTCGACATTCCAGAGCTAAGTCAAATAGAGGCATCCGCGTGTAGGTTAGCGCTCACCGGCCACAGGCCGCTTGTACTAGTCTCAGCCTACCTCTCGGGGAACAAAACCTTATTACAAAGCGACCTAGATACGCTACTCAACTTAGGCCCTTCCGTGATAATTGCAGGAGATCTAAACTACAAACACGGTTCATGGGACATCTACAGAATCCCAAATAACAACGGAAAGCATCTCTTTAGCTTATCCCATAATTTAAACTTTTGCATAATCGCTCCTACGACTCCCACTAGGTATCCTACGGTGGACAACTACCAACATGCGACACCGAGTAACCGACATACAACGTGGGACACTCTCCTAGAGGACATCGAGCCATCGCACACCGCCTACTGGCGGTTGGCCCGCAGTCTGAAAGCAGACCCCCGCGAATCTCTACCGCCGTTAATTAGACCTAATAGCGCTTCAGTAGCCCTAGATGACTCCGAAAAAGCCGAATGTCTTGCGGACAACCTAGTGCAGCAATGTACGCCATCGCGCGAACACACCGATACAGTCCACCTAACGGAGGTGAACCGCGTAATCGAGACTTGGGCTGCGCTTCCACCGCAAGGCGATCCTTTAAGTTCAGTGACCCCCGAAGAGGTCCAAGACATTATTAAAAATTTAAAACCGAAATCCGCCCCGGGCCCAGATAATATCAGTAACAAAATTCTCAAAGCTCTCCCTGGGCCGCTTATCTGTTTACTGGCGACCATTTTCAACACTCTACTCTCCAGTTGCTCCTTCCCGGACGACTGGAAACAAGCCACGGTTATCGGCATTCACAAGCCGAATAAACCAGCCAAACAGCCCTCTAGCTATCGTCCCTTCAGCCTCCTCAGTTGCCTGGGGAAGCTTTACGAGCGGCTCTTATTAAACAGGCTCAAAGAGCACGTATTTTCCAACGGCCTTCTGCCGACGGAACAATTCGGCTTTCGAGCTAGACAGTCTTGTCCCGAACAGTTATACCGCCTAACGGAGCACATTCTAAAAGGCCTAAACCACCCGAAACATATCAGTACAGGGGCTCTTTTCTTCGATGTCGTAAAGGCATTCGACAAGGTCTGGCACAACGGCTTGCTTTACAAGCTGTACACACTCGAAAGTGCCAGATAGGCTCGTACACACCATCCGAGCCTTTTGTTGAATCGCTCTTTTCGATATCGAGTCGAGGGCACCCTCTCCACAAGCCGCCGCCTCACGGCCGGCGTACCACAAGGCTCCTGCCTCTCACCTTTGCTCTTTACGCTCTACACGAGCGACATACCCAAAGACCCCCACGTCAATCTCGCGCTTTTCGCGGATGACACCGCGCTCTTTTATTCAGACCGCAACCTTAGAATACTAACTACTCGACTCCAAAGCGCCGCCGACCGCCTCGGCGATTGGTTCCGCAAATGGAGAATAGAAATAAATCCCGAAAAGAGTATGGCGATTCACTTCACACGAAGTACTTACCCGTCACATCTTTATAATGGTCCTCGCCAATGCAGAAAGTTGGGGAAAATATCCCTTTATAGCCAACCGCTCCCCTGGGAGAAAAAGGTCAAATACTTAGGAGTCACTTTCGACTCGCGTATGTCATTTACTACGCACATTAATAACGTTCGCAATAGAGCCGCGTTCGTCTCCGGCCGGCTACACAATTTAACTAACGCTAAGAGTAAAATGCCCTTAAGATACAAATTACTATTATATAAGACCTGCGTACGACCTATTATGTCTTACGCATGCATGATCTTCGCCCACACGCACCCTACTCGCTTGTACAAGCTGCAAATAGTACAAAATAAGTTCATCCGCCGTGCAACCGGTGCGCAGTGGTATCAACGCAACGTCGATCTGCACAGCGATTGCAGACTCCCGACGATTCGCGAATATTTTAAAGACCTGACTAAACGGTTCTTCGATAGAGCCGAACATCATCCCAACCCTCTGGTGGTAAGCGCAGTAAATTACCAACCCGACACAAACGCTAACGTCAACAAGCGTCGCCCACGAAACGTCCTCATCGACCCGGTCGAGGAAGGGAACTTAGATACGCCGGACCCACCGCCGGGGGGTCCCGCCGGATAACACTACACCCACAGCTAGTGTAAGAACAAACACAATAGTTCGCCCTCGCCTCCGAGCACGGCGAGACCAACACAACGCGTACACAAGGTACACCCGCGTTCCAGGGCGGTTCTCACCGCCCCCAGCCACCGATTAGCTAAAAACACAGTCGACGGCCATCGGGGTCTCGGTCCGCACAGCAACTTTGATGGCCTTTAGATTACATGTCGTAGTTAAACGCACGCATGACCACATGCGTGGCCCTACCCACAGCGGAGGGCCCAAACCCGTGGGTTCTGGCTAGCCCACCGGTTCTGCGTCAGATGAAGCTTTAATAGTCTCGGGACTGAAAGCAAAAACATCAGTTAATACAAGACAAGATACACATTATAAAACAATTTATTAATAGAAATTTAAAAAAAATTGTAACTGTTTTGTACAGCCAACATGATAAATATAGGTAGCGAGTGACGTCATACTCGTATCGATTGTAAAATCGATAAATTAAAAAAAAATGAGTCACAGATCCGACACAGAGCACCCCGACTCCATGTGGTCTTGTGGTCCCTACCCCTAGAGTGAACATAAAAAGGCGGAGCCAAAACCTCGCGCCGGAGGTCCTGAGTGGCGCAAGCCCGCGAGGCCAAGCGGGGCGAAGGGGCGAGGTGGCGAGCGAAGTGAGCCGCCGAGATCCTTAGCGGAGCGAATCACACTGTGGTAATGGAAAATTGTACCTAAAATAAATATAAAAATTACAAAGACAAATATAAGTTAATAATTTGTTTATTCAAAAAGATCAGTCAAATCTCAGTCAGATCAAGAAAAACAAACAGTACGTACAGCATTAACAGAAGCGTTGTGACTCACTTGCATAATTCGAAATAATTGAATTAATAGGCAATATTGACTGTTTTATAAAAATTTTAAAATTAAATGATTCATTATACGTTAAACAAAAGATACCCCACGTTTTGAAATTTGAATGGTTCATGCGTCACTTTTGCTATTTAGTAATAACGTTCCAACCTCTAAGTTACTTGGGTTTAATTCCAGTATATATATCCTAGCTATGGTTTAATATAACGATCCAAGAAATATTACATGAAGAGAATGTTTTTGCTAGAATGATGCAAGGTAAGGTGTCAAAAAAGGTGTACAAGTCATGTTAACTCCATTTCCTAACGACTGTGGTTTGGACCGTTTTCGTATAACTACGTCTATTTAAAAAATATCAATATCGGCTTCGATATAACGAAGAGAAAATATTGATATATCGATATTTTCTTTTTTAGGTCCTGTTGTCCAAAAAAAAAACGTATTTGACATATATTTTTTTGAAATAGGTATTAAAATATGTACGCATTTTGTGCCAGATTCGAATTTAATAGTTTTTGATAAGATTTCGATATTGAATATTTTGTATCGATATATCGGATCAAAACGTATCGGCTGTAAATGTCGATATAATAAATCAAACATATCGATATTTTTTCGACATCCGTCTCAGCATGGTACATATGTCCTAGCTAGGAGCTAGGTTTTATTTCAATAAACGATAATCGTTTATTGAAATAAAAATAAACTTTCAAAACTACCGAGGCTGAACCTCCTGTGTGAATTTGGACACCTTTAGAAAAGCCACCTGTATAGTACGGGGATTTCCGGTTTATTGTATTTTAGTGTAGATAAGTCTTAAGATTATGAACGGTAAAAATCAGCAATAAGATTTAATTTGTTATTAATATAATTAATAAAAAATAAAGGTATAGAATAATAGAAAATTATGGTATTAGTTTCTGTAAGTTTCCGGGTGTTTTTCGACGTAAAAAAAATTAGGTACAGAAAAATCATTAATAAAATACTCACCAAGCAGAATTTCGCGGTCGCTTATAGTTTTCGAGAAAATAAATTATTTAAAACGTAATTTTCACTAAGAAAGTTCACCATTTTTTTTTTCTCGAAAACTATAAGCGACCGCCAAATTCTGATTGTTGATTATTTCATTAGTGATTTTTCTTAACCGAATAAACTTTTTGTTTGGTCGAAAACACCCGAAGACTTAAGGAAATTTTTACCAAAAATTTCTAATTTTCTTATTATTCTACGTTATTTACGGTACGTTTTAGCAGATTCATGGCAATAAGATGGCATATAAATACACAAAGAAATATTTATAACAATATTTATTTTTAACACATAAATTGATTTAAACACCAAATCGACTAGATACACATATTTTCATTAAAAACTACATTAAATCTACCTGTTTTCCTCTTTATAGAATGCCAAGACGTATAAAGGATAACTTAAGAATAATTAAAAAATGTTTTATCATAGTTTCTTATTTTACTATAGCAAATATTTTGTATGAAATACATACAAAATTACGAGACCTATCTGGTATTGGGTAAAACTGTGACATTTTTATGAAAATTTTCTGAAGAGAGGAAGACCCCCAGTCGACAAACTAGCTTCCAATCAATCTAATTTAATTGAAACAGATCCAATATGATTGTCATATAAAGAAACAATAATATTATTGTACATGGACAGAAACTGATTTATTGAGTAATTGCCTTGACTTTACTATTATAGTATTTTTAAGCTTTTGAATATTTTGAATAGTCTTGTGGACCAGTTTTAAAATGAAAACTTATTGTCCTGTAGTACAACCTTCTTGCCACTTTCATAGTGTAGCAAGCAATGGTTATCTACACCCAAAAGCAGATAATTACACAGAATATAAAATCTTGCCATATTCAATTAAGTCAGTTATTATATAATATAACAAAATGCCATTTTTAACCCTCAAAAACTGTATAATACAAAATAAAAAAAATTTAATATACTTGACATGACATAAGAGCTTCATAAATTCAGCTACTTAATCCTTCTTTTCATGAGATTCTGAAAAGCAATAATAAAATTATTGATAAGACATAGGGAGTCTACTCGAAAAATAAAAATAAAGCTTTGAAGATAAAAATGAAAAAAAAAAAACTAAAATAATCAGAAATGTATACTATTTTTAAAGGATTTATAAACTATAATATAAAAATCAATGTGCATACTGATGACTGGGACCAATTTTTACAAAGTTTTTGTGCAATCTTCAGATTAGTCCCAAGGGGTGATCTTATTAAGTTTGGTATTTTTCATTGTTTTACAATGTAAAAAGTAAATGCCCTTTAAATTTCTTAGTAGATTTTTCCAGGCTGGCTTATTAGAATACTTAATGATTTATTTTTTTCGTACAAGTAATACTTTACATGCAATCAATTAAATAATTTTTAACACAATACCAAAATTGTTGCAACCAACAAGAAATAACTCCACTTATGGCGTAACTTAATTGCTAAAAACTAAGTTAAAAATAATTAATACTTTAATAACACAGAGCTTTGACTAGAATTAATTCACACAGACCTCATGAAAATCGTAATGTAACAGTTTGATAAAAAATTTACATCTTTGAGATCATAAATGCTGTACTTGAATTCCATGAACAGCCCGTAGCCTCTTGCAAGGCTTTACAAAAACATATTATTATTATATTATATTGCTATTCCTTAATGGACTTTTCAACAGGAATCCTAGTTTTTTTTTTGCATCACAAATTTGCTAAATGTTAACCAATTCTATATTATAGCAACAGATTGTATTAAATTTTTAGAGATAATTCTTTATGTAACATATGTTTTTTAAAAGTTTACCAAGCTCTTCTTCTTCGTCCGCATCTAGGATATCAGCACAACACACAGAATAGCAGATTAGGGAAAGAAAACCGAGTGGAAGGCCGAACACAAGCGCAGTTAGAACGGGGTTGCCGCGCCACATATTAGTCAGGGTAGTTCTGGCTTCAAAGAATCCTCGGTATATACGTACAGGCCAGTGATTGCCGCCATAAATCTAAAAAATAATACCGACTGTAATACTAAAAATATCTAATAATATAATTGTTTTTTCATGAACCTATTACTATTGTTTTGAGTGAGTGGGAAACACAGAAGAATTCATGATTACTTACTTTTATGATGAAAATTAATGTACGCATAAATAATTTGTCAAGTGAACTGTTATTAATCAGCTGCTGACAATGAAAGAGCTGAAAGCTGATATAATCTTAATCAGTTAAGATCCGATGAACCAACATGTAATGTTAACTGATTATGATCACGCCAGAAATGTAAATGTGCAACACTTGAGGGGTTATGGGAGTGTAGACAACCTTTTAAAAAGTGGGTCTGGTTACCTCATCAAACCAAATGCCTAATAGTTCTACTTCACGCCGGGTTTTAAGAGGCCTAGGTACTTTCCTAGGAGAGCCGGACCATTCATGCAACAGTAGAATGTCTTGCATGGCCCTACGAATTTAATCATTAATACCAAAATTACGCCTAATTTGTGTGAGATGACATGTGTTTATATTAATTAACAAAAACTGGCAGTGGTTTTTGGATAACTGTAAAATTTAAATAGAGGGAATGTGTTATTATATCAATAATAGTGTTATTGGGTGCAACTGTATTGTAGGGTAAGACCATAACAGGGCCTCTTATTTAATTTTAAGCAGAAAGGCATTATTAAAATAATTATCATAAATAGTCATTATATATGTGAGCAGCAATTAAATCAAGTTTCATTTTGTTAAGGCAGTAGATGTCATTAAACCCATTGTTAAAATTATTAAATACAATAAAATTATAAGTAGATACAAAACTAAACACTGGCATATTTAAATGTGATATACAGCGTGTAGTTTCAAACGCGACAACAAATGAACACACATATGGAGGATAACTTTTTAAAATTGCATTAAGCATTTACATTCTTTAATCATCAGTATTTACCGAGTTATAAAATTTTACAAAACAAACATTTTTAGAACACCCTTACATATAAAATGTAACGTAAAGTTAATTTGTAAAGGTCACAAAGCAAATTAATGGGTTGAATGAATTTAAAAGAGATAAAACATACTGTTAGAAGGAGAGACTTGTAATGCGTTGTGGCAACAAATGAAAACGTTCTGAATGTATGAATCAGTCAGTTGTAGTTGTATGTCACATAGGTGTCACAAATTATATTTAATAATACTTTTTTATTAAATTAGTTTCTTTGAAAAATATGATTTTTTTAATTATGGATTTTTTATCTTTTTTTTTATGTGAAAAATTGCCAAACGAGCAGACGATTCACCTGATGGTAAGTGCATACCCGAGGGTTACAGATGCGTTAAGAACCTTTTGAAAATTGGGCTCCGGCTACCTTACTCACCAGACGAAACGAGAAAATATTTGTCATACTTCCACTTTACGCTGGTCTTCTGTGAGGTCGTGGTACTTACCCGGACGGGCCTGCCCATTCGTACAACAGCCGAGGCTGCTGCGTGGCCCTATCACCGGAATTGTCGTTTTATATTATTTTATAATTATTGGCAAGTAGCGTTAGACGTGTATTATTTCGAGATTTAGACGTCATTTATTGTCGCGGTTGTAACGACACGCTGTATATCCTAGCTGACTTTTTGCTATCACACAGAATTTAAAAAACAAATTTTCGTCTGTGTGGCAATCAGCCGTTTAGCTTAGTGGCTAGAGCGTTAGGCCACGAATGCCGAAGACGTGAGTTCATTTCCCACAGCGGCGATAATCTTTTCGTACTTTTTCTACAAATTTTAATGTTCAATCTTTAGTGCAGAGATTAGCAATATAAAAATAAATTAAATTGCTAAGAAGCAATGGTGACATCTCTCGTTCGAAATATCGTTGTAAAATGATATTTGAAATTGTTTGTATGCTGGAAAGGATATAACAATGGATGCGCCAAGCATTGTTTCAAATGCTAAAAACAATGTAGATAAAAGACGTTAAGGTTATCGTCTGTTTGGCAATCAGCCGTTTAGCTTAGTGACTAGAGCGTCAGGCCGCGAATGCCGAAGACGTGGGTTCGATTCCCGCAGCGGCGACAATCATTTCGTACTTTTTCTACAAACTTTAATTTTCAATCTTTAGTCCAGAAATTAGCACTATAAAAATTTTAATTTGTATGTAAAATACTACAATATAACATTAATTCAATGATAACATAGTAGCAGTTTGTAATTTAACCAAACCTCTTTTTAATTTAAAAACTTACTGGTGCTTGTTGGTTATATATTTGCTCAAGGAATATAGATACCGCTTCCGGGGTCATTAGGATAGGATCATCTTCAGGCAGGTGATGGTGGCTTGTGGTAGAATTCAGTACTAGCAAATGTGGTACTGTCAAATCATACATAGCTATGGAATTGGCCAATTCCGGGTTTCCCATCCATCCAAATTGAAAATGATCATGGAGCTCTAACTTTCTTTTCCTAGAAGTTAAATAGACTTATTATCTCAAAAGATTGTTAGTGATTATCATGTGTATAACATTAAGTTTACCTGATAATACTTTCAACCATATCCTTGAAATCCCTCTCTGTTTGTGTTATTTCTCCTAGTTTATTTTCAGAAACAATAACTATGACAATATACTTTTTAATATCCATTATATGATTTATATTAGCGCTTGTTATTTTTGGAAAAAATCCAAACCTTTCTGCATTAATCCATTTGTCCAATGTAACATTTAAAGTTTCCTTGTCATTAAGTAATTGAGGATTAGCTGTGAAATAAATAATAAACAACAAATGATATTAAATTTGCAATTATATCCCACAAGAAATATAAGATCAATATGGTTAAAAAATATAAATAGAAATAACCTTGAAAGTAATATAGATCATCCTCTTTATACACAAATATTGCTGAGTCATTCGATGGCTGGATCTCATTCTTAATTACATCCTGTGACATAGTATAAAACCATGTATGGGGTTGATATTTTTCAGCATGTAGTGTAAATGTCTCCTAAAAGTTGCATTATAATATATTATTAACCAAATCCTAATTATCTAAAAGTATTTAGAGAGAAAATATAAATTGATACAAATGCTACATTTATAAATTGATTAACTAATATTTTTGAATGTATTGACATTATTGAATCAAACTATTTATACAGATTTTTTATGTTTATATTAAACTTCAATTTGCAATTGAGAATTATTTTGCAGCTTTCAAGAGGGCTCAGGACAAAATAATGCATTAAACATCCCAAAAACTTAAAGTTGATCTGCTGAAGTTTAAGTTGATCTGAGCTATTTATATCATTTTATTTGACATAATAAAGTTATTTTAATGAATGAATTAACATAGCTGAACAAATTTTATTGTGAAAATTAAAAATTTTAGCACCGGTTTCATATACTTTGCAGCATGTCCACAAGAAGGACTAAGGTGTTTAATATCCTGATGTCAATAATATTCTGGCCTTGCATCAGCTTCAGATTATTAATTTTAGTCTCTGTGCAGAAAGTCCTATATAAAAATATTAAAATTTATAAAGTTTACATACAGAAATGATTAAAATATATCCCATATATTACCCATAAAGGTCCTTGTTGCTTGCCAACATAACCAAAAAATATATTATGTGTTTCCTTTAAGTATTCCATACTATCTGCATGTGTCACTCTCTGTATTGCCGGTTGAGCCATCCTCATAGCATAGTTAACCATCTCCTCTTTTTCCCTTTCGCCATTGTACTGATGTAGGAATGACCCTTTGATGCTATTGTAGGAATAAAATTATTTGTAATATGATTAACTAAAAACGATACTCTACAAATCTGACAATAGTATTTAATGAAATTAATGGCTTTTTGTGCCTTACATGTTAATTAATTATATGGTAAAAAAATACTCCTAATGGAAGATTAGAACTAAAAAGATAACTTTGTTGACTACTAAAAACACTACACAGACAAAACTATGCAGCACGAATGGGCAGGCTCATCCCATGAACTCCCACAAACTCACAGTAGAGTGCCATAAAGTGCATGTATTATACTGTCGGATTTTGTCTGGTTATTGAGGTAGCTGGGTTCATTGTCCATGTTCAGGATATACCCTTACGTATACATAAGGGTAATTGTAGATGTACATGAGCGGTGACCATCACTTAACATCAGTTGAAACTTCTGCCAACAGTTCACATAAAAAAAGGATATCTTAACAATGAACTTATAATACCGACCAAGTGTGAGTCAAACTCGAGCACAAATGAAATCTAGATCTATGAAAATGGCAAAAAAAATCATTTCTGTTGTGTTGGAACCCCACTTAAATATTTTTTTATTCTATTTTTCAGTAATTTTTGTTATAGTGGCAACAGAAATACATCATCTATGAAAATTTCAACTGTCTCACTATCATGGTTCATGACACAGCCTGGATGGATGGACAGACAGACAGACAGCAGACAGTTAGTAATAGGGTCCCATTATCATGGGTCTTTGGGCACAGAACCCTAAAAATTGATGATAACATACACTAATACATTATCAGATTTAAAGATACTTACAACATTATTGTGGGGAAAGCTCTTATTTTAAAGTGGGTAGCCACTGCACTGAAACGGGTGCAGTCAACCTTTGCCACTTTGATAGGTGTGTTGTAAAGGGACTGTGCTACATGTGCCCAAATCGGCTCCAAGCGTCGACAATGTGCACACCATGGTGCATAAAACTTGACGAACCACATTCCATCTTTGCTGATATCAATAAATTTATCACTTAGTTCTAAAACTCTTGATGACGAAACAAAACTAAAAGCTGTGAACAATTTTAATGTGGCTGTTAATTACACGGTATCAATAAAAATCCTTTATTGAAATATTAAAAATTTGCTTATTACCGATAAGAAACAAAAAGGATCCTTTTATTAGAATCATTATAGCTGTAACAATATTTATTGATTTATGATAGGGTAAACATCACTTTAAATTATATTTTATTAATTAAATTAGCAAGCAATTGTAGATTACATTTATAGGATTGCGACAGGTTAATCTAGGTCTTTACTCGTTTTTAATGTTATTTTATTTTACTTTTTGATTACAATTATAGTATCTCGAATTATATTGGAGCACCCGGAATATCAGGTGTTAGGTACAGTGCAAAAAGTACTTTTATATATCTCAAAGTACAGTGGTACAGTCACAGACTAACTAGAGATGCTTACGCATCAGACGGTAAACTTCCATAGAAAAAAAATCTCTTTACGAATTTGCAACTATTGAACGTGACATTTGCTTTTTTTTAATTTTAGTACTGATTTATCGATAATCTTGTAATGAATACGAGGCTTTTCGCCTAGATTTGTCGGGCTCATAAAAGTGTGTCGTTTTTAGAAAATAATAAAATAGATGGAGAATTATTTAGAAAATAAAAGTTATCAATTTATTTATACATTTTTTTTATTTTTTAATTTTGTTTTATATTTTATTAATGCTTTCTGTTGCATTGAAGGCAAACATTTATTTTGCAACCTTAAGACATCCGTACCCTTAATTATTTTATTAATTATATTACACCAATTAAATACTGTTAATCTCAGACTTAATTCGAGAAAGCATTCAATCACAGCCTCCCTATGTATTTCACAATCCAGAAAATCAAACGAATATTTGGATTTTATTTTATTTTTTATTTCTTTTTTATAATACCCATTTCCTGTGGTCTTATTTCTAAATATTCATTTGCTTCCTGAATTGTATAGCCAAAACATCTCACAGCATTTTCTGATGGGTAGGTTAACTTTCTTTGTTTAATACTTTTATATTCCCTAAAAGATATCCAATCACTTGTTGAATTTACATCAGAAGTTAAATTTAATTCACAGTGTTTACAACTACTTTTATTTAAAATTTTTCTTATAACCCACCCTGCAGTATAGGCTCGTGAGTGAATATTTAACCTTTCTTGCATAGCTGTTATAGGGATACTCTGTACAAAGAGAACTGCACTCTGAAAGTTAGAGGATCCAGCTGAGTATGCACTCCCAGAATCTTTTTCAATATTTTTATTCATTTCAAACAAGGCCTTCAATTTCACCAGTTGCTCACCTGAATCCTCTTCACAATTATAACTTTCAGAGTGAAATTTTATAAATCTTGTGATTAAAAGTGATTTAAAGGTGTTTTTAAAGGTGTGGCAATTGGGATCATTGTTTCTATAATTATATGATCTTATCTGTCCAAAAAAGTTTTCTATAGGATCAGAATTAAAGTATCTTGGTCTCAGGACCTTTATATTTTTTTTCTGAAAAAATTGCCACAACCTTTGATAACTTTTAAGAGTAACAATCCAGTTCTTTAATGAGGGCACTGATGTCTCTCTATTAGTTTTACTGTCTATAAATTTTATATTATTTAATTTCATTATGGCTTCATTCCAAAATATATGGTGTGGGGAAGAAGCTGTGACAGCTTTCCGGAGAGGTTTTCCTTTATTCCTTTTGTTAAATAAACTGGCTCCATTAACAGAATCAAATAGATCATCGAAGAATGAGACAACTTCGGCTGTATTCTTTAATGTTGAGCTTACTTGTGTCCCATCAGCGTAATGAGCTACAACAATAAGTAACAAGCATTAGTATTTTATGTGCCATGCAAATTTACAGACAATAACGATTTTATATTATAAAAAAAATTCTTACAAAACTGAGCAGTGTAGGAGAGAGTAGCTGCCACTGTTTTGCTAAACACTCTCACACAATTTTTCACCTGTAATAAAAGAAACTTTAGTTAAATTTACATGAAAAATGAACTTTTAAAACATTGAAGTATGGCACTGATTACTGGGGTTAATTATGAGCATTAAACATCTCTAACATTGTGACTTAAATTCAAGGACCATAAGAAGTGGGATATTTTGGATTAGATTATGATAACTAGAAAAGTGAAATTCTATGATAAACAATAAAGCAATAATTACCTTCATCTTTTTAATTTTTTTCTGGAATGACATGTTCATCATTCAATTTGTGTAACAATCTCATCTGAGCATGACTGCAATCAGTTTTGTATACATCCACAATGTCATTCCATTTTGAAATTTTATTTTCCAGTTTGATATCTTTCATCATAAAATTGTTTCTCAAACCCTTGATGAGGTGTGGTGGATCATGAATAATGCTGAGTGAATGTCCATTGATCATAATGATATCATCTAAAAATAATTACAAAATAATTAATTCATCACACATAGGAACATATCTTTGCCATAATTGTGTAACATAATAAATTTAATATAAAAATATATAAAAAAATAATTTTAATAACAAATCCGATTGCTTTTGGATATTATAAACAATACTAAAATGTGTATTACTAATATACTAGTGATAAGAACCAAAGCTGCCCATTGTGGTATAAAGGAAACTGATAGGAGGCTCATTTGCAAATGCATGGTCCAGCTACATTTCAAAATAACATACTCACTTTCAATATTTAATATATACAACAACATATCAAACAGCTACAAAATTTTCAATGTCAATTTTAAATGATTAAATATTATGAATGATTCTAAAATGTACATCATTTTTAAGAAAAGCTATTACTCAAACTCACCAATTTCTTCACCAAATCTTATTTGCTCCCTCCGTGTGTCCTCTTGAAGACTTTTCAGAGCAGATTGAAAGGCAGTCCCCTGATCACAGACTACAGCAATAGGTAAAAGTCCTGTATTTCCTACAGCTGTTACTACATCTTTGATTATTGTCTTTAGCTGAAACCCAGATGTTGCCCCCTTACAGAAATAGTAAGCCAATGGCTGTTGCCATTTATAAATAGATCCTCTTAGCATAAAGACAAGTGCATGGTCGGCAAAGTCATTTGTCTTTTCAGGAAGTTCAACAAATCCAATGATTGAGTCTTGTTTTCGTTCATATGTCAAGCCTGATTCTAATGCAACCTCATCAAAAATAATTGAGCAAAATATTTTATTTTCTTCCCATGTCTTTACCTGGAAAAATTAACACAAATTATTAAATAAATAAAAGAAAGAAAGAAAGAAAAATATTTTACTTTTACATTGTATCAACTTCTGAAGAAAAAAAAACAAGTAATTCAATAATTTATAAATTAATACTCTACTGCAGCTATAAAAAGTTAACTTACTCAGCATTATGCTACAGTAATATTGCTGTAACGCTGACTGGTACTGAAAGTCTTACCTCTTGTTTTACTGCATCAAATACTTGAGCATTGATCCCTGCTTCAATATTTAATTCAGAAACCATTTTGTTTAGGGTATGTTTAGTGGGGAGGATAAATATTTTATGCAGGAATCTGTAACATTTTGGACTTTGCTTCAATATAGATAAAGCAATAAGTTTCTCTTCAGTAGAGAAGCGTCTTCCCTGGACTTTTTTTGTGCACTGCTTAATTTGCATCCACATAATTTTTTTGGCCAATGGATTCATGTTTTTAGTCAGTTTTTCAAAGGAATTTTCTTTTGAGAACTTTAATGCTCTACGAACTCTGTGACTAAATTCCAACTGCCTCTGGGATTTTACATATTCTTGGTAGAGTCTCGCACACTTTGGTGAAAGAGATTTTTTACTTAATACAACACGCCTTCTTCGGATTTTTAACTTTGGCGTTGATGGAATAACTGTGTCTGTAAAAATTTATGACCAGTTAACTAAATATTAGGTTGTTATTGTGAAGTTTTTTAGCAAAAATTTGTTCTTATTCATTGATTCATCTACAATTGGTAATCAATAATAATATTTAGACACATCTTTTACCTTTGTTGACGAGGTTTTCTGAGACTTTGTTTTCACAGCCTGAAGTAGAAGGCATAACATCAGACATCGTCTTTGTATAATCAAGGTATGTGTTATCAGAAGAAGCAGTTGAATAACTTTCTGGAAAAAGGAAATATTATAAAGTTTTGAATTACTCAACATTTGTCAAAAAGGCCATTAAAAGGTAAGACATTCAATTTTAATGTTTGAAAATAAATTGGCATAAAAAGATACACTACAAAGTATTCAGTAAAAATATAAACGCAAGTTCAAGGATAAAATAAATCTATGCTTATATGTAACTTAATATTTTCATACTGAACTTTTATCTTCATGAATGTATACAAAATTGTGCAAAAGTAACAGTAATTTGAATATTATATTACCCTTATTCTAATTGATTTTGTCTAATATTGTATCGACATTAGAAAGCAACAAATGTCTGTTTTTTTATTAACAAGATAAGAGGCTTACCAGTTCCAGTTCGCATACGTTTCTTTGTAGGTTCACTTTTAGAGTAACTATGATCTTTATGCACCCTTTTTTTAGCATAACTATGCTCTAAAACAGCACTGTCTGTAATAATAGTATTGAATTTTTATTGAATAAGTAATAATATAGAATTTTGGAATAATTTCCTTCCACTATCTTTTAAGCTTAACACAATATACCCAGGCTATACTAGGTAGCTAACTAGCATATTGAAGTTCATTTATACACAATTTCTTTTTTCTTTTCTTTTGTTTTTTTATAAACATTGCCCTCACTTTAGGATAACATTATCCTGTGTTGTAAGGACGTTTTAAAACATAAATTGCACGAGGAATTTAATATGTTAGGAGTTTAATAGGTGGCAAATTCCTTTTCTGTTTAGGAGTTATCTAGGTAGGTTACCCTTTTACCTAGTGGCCACTTATCATCAGATGGATGGACTATCTAGCCCAATCAAACATCATAATTATTGGATATTCATTATTTAATATAATAATTATATCATATCATGTATGGATGACCACATAATGCTTTAAGTGTTTATTCAAATGTGTTTATTCAAAACTAAAACGTCGAATCTATGTTACATAATACTTTAGTCAAAAAATGTAGCATCTAAGCAACGTAAGAGAAATATTTGTGATTAGTTAGGTAGTTACCGGAGTCATGAACAGTGTGCATAGTTTGCGGTATGCCACTGCTGATTTCGCTAGCAGAAAACAACGTAGGATATGCGCCAACACGAAGACGAGGCCTCAAAGGTGTCGAGGCGATGAACTTCTTTTCAAAATGCTTTTGACACACATGATGCTTACGAAGATCCTCTATTTTCATGTTTCGCAATCCTTCACAGTTAATACAATCTAACCACTTTTGAAGTCCTATCTCTGTCTTGGGAAAACGATATAAATTAATATCACTACGCCTGCTAGAACAATTCACAACACAACACTTGTGAAACATATTAATTAATTTATCGTTGCCGGCCGGTAGCAATGTCAAATTGTCAAAATGTCAATGTTAGGTTAGTCAAGCAAGGCGATAAAAGAAAGAAGTACGAGAGAGGGAGGGGGAAAACTGTCAGTATCATTAGTTGCAAATCCATAGACAATAAAGACTTAACGCGAGGATTTTATGTATTGAGATTACTACCCGTGGGTACAGTGCTTCTTTACTCCTCTCTTCTAGATCGCGAAAGAAGAATTACAGATTAAATTTAATCAGTGTACTTTTATATATCTGAAAGTAGGGATGTAGTAATGCAGTAATGCATAGGATATCACCGAGTGACTCGAGTAAAATTACTAAGGAATGTCGAAAAAATATCGATATATCGATATTTTTGGCCGATATATCGATATAAAAAATTGAATATCGAAATCATGTCAAAAACGATATTTTTATTCAATTTTTATTCAGCTGATTATTAACTGATAAAGCCGTATAAGATAAAAATGAGCGGAAAAAAGACTGTTGTCTACGACTAGTATTGTCGCGAATGCAGTGTTGTATTTTGTATTAAAATTATCGTATTTATACCAAAATTTCATGCTTCGTAGATTATACTATCCACATCTAAGGTAAAAGATGGTGTAGAGGTGTTAGAAATCATTAATATTGGTAATAAACTACATGGTAAGCTAATTTATAAATAGCATGCAAAATATTAATGGCATCAACAAAAGTTACTTTAATTTAAGATGTAAATAAAGTGAACAACATGTCACATAATATAATATCAAGTTTTCATAAAAAAATATTACACGTCATAAAAATTATTATCATTTAATATCATTCAAATTATTTAGCATTTTCAAGTCATTCATATAACTATTAGAAAATGCTGCTGATCTAAGGCCTATCTTTTAAGACAAGTCTCGGCGCGTTTCTTTTTACCCCATTACGTTACACGTTTTTTTATTTTTTGATTCGATTCAGTGCTAAAGAAATTGATTTAGCTTACTAAATAAGCTATTTGTTTTTTTTTTTTCAATGAAAGTCTTTTAAAACATACACCTAGAATTTTTGATAAATAAAAGAAATTTGATTAAAATTAATAAATAATTAACGTTTTATTAAAATGTCTCATTCATTAAAACAATGTGAATTTGGTATAAAAATCACTATTACTTATTACTGAATCACACTGAACTAAATATATATTATTTTTAAAACCGAAAATTGACCGATTTGTCGATATTTTTTTCGATATAACGAGGCCGATATTGAGATTTTTATAAATATCGATATATTTCTTGACTTTCGGTATCCATTATCTAATTGTATATTTCGATAGCGGTATGTCGTCCTGAGTACTGACGATTTTGGCCACCTTGTTCACCAAACATAACGTTAGTAGTGTCAGCCCCGAAAACTAATTACATCTTTAATGTTAAGGTTAACGTTACTTAAAGTCTCGGAAAATGTATCAAACAAAGCTTGAGCTGATGCTCCTCTCGAGTTCTCGAATCCACCAAAGCCAAAAATTTCGTTTTTACCTGTAAATCTTTTTCGGAATAATATTATGTAACAACTGCAAGCGTTGATGTGGTTGTGACATCTGTGGTGTCATCTATAACCTAGGAAAACATTGGAGTAGGTACATGTTTTAATGTTTTCACATGATTTTAAATCGGTAAGCATCACTAATTCTAGATTTTGCTTTAAAATATTATACGTTACCACTACTGCTTTAGTTCTAGTGCAGGAATATGACTTGGCAATTTCAAAATCGTGAAAGCATTTAGAGATAATTTCGCTCAAATGATCAATTAATCTAAACGGTAAATTGTGTTCCACTAGCATAGCAAAAAACAAAAAAAGTTCGACTTCCTCTTCTAACGGAGATTTCTTAAATAATTGTTGAACCTGAAATTATTTAATGTCATTAGTATTTTAAACTTACAATGTCCAGTAAAATAGTATTAGAATAATAAAATAGGGTCGTGCTTTAGTTTACGGTCGCACGCGGAGGAGGGGGGGGGAGGGGTTTGGGGGGAGGGGGGGTAGTGGTGAACCCCCCCCTAAAAGGGGGGGATGCGGAAACGTATAGTTTCTGAAATATATTAAAAAATCTATCCTAACCTATAAAATATTGATATTGATTAATTTAATATGGTATTTGTTTAAATCAAGTGGGGAGGAGGCTCTAATCTTCTCTCTACCCCGTCTGACGCTTTACATTCGACCTTCTTACTTACAGGGGTTCGATGTCTGGGGCTGATCTATGTTCAACGGACACAATTCTTACCAAACCTGACGTGTCGCCAGTTTTGTTCTGGCCTGAACTCTATATACATATATATATATACATATGTATATATATATATATATATATATATATTATATAGAGAACTATGTAGGCATAAATAAAACAAAAGAGTAAAAATAAATTCTTTATTTAAATTTATAAACAAAGTTTATGGCCTCTATAAGTGATAAAAATAAATCTTTTTTATTTCTTTGTATTCTTCGTCTCCACATATATTCAACTATACTATCAGAAAAATCTTTAGGGTTATTTATGTTATCTTTATAAAACTTTTTAACGACACGCCACTGTGCCTCAATCCTTTGTGTGTGAGTTCCATCTGGAGCAACAAAAGGATTGTCTGGGTCCGAGTGATTCACCTTTTTATGGATGTATCCATAAGAACCCAGACAATCATATGCACGCCAGCAGTCTGTATGTATAATTGACCCCTCAATCACATGCTTCTGGATCAGGGGCACCAACACTTCTGCTGAGCGCACATTCTCCGGGCAAACTTCTAGCCGAAGGTCTTCACTCCCATCTTCAATAAGTCCAAGGACCCAATGGCCTTCAATGTGTCGTCCTAGAACAAATCACAAAAATATTATTTAAAAAAACAATTCAAATATAAATAATATCCGTCTCCATGAACTCGGTTTCGCCTTAAACATTTTGTATATCAATATATATTATTTACCTACCAAGCTAGGTCAATTGAGTCCTGCTGTGTAGGGCCAGTATTTCTGGGTGGTTATAAAAAAAATAACCACGAAGGCTAAGGCGGGAGCTTCGCTCCCGCCTTAACCTTCTAACCTAATCTGTCCGAGTCGGATTGCTCTGAATCGGGCTGTCAAACATGATATCAAAGAACTTAGCCAACTTAAAAGACCATTAAAAAATATAAATACCTTTGTTATATTTTCTCTTTCCAAATTTGCTTTCATCGATTTGGACCACCTTGCCAGGGCCACCAATTTTACCTATATTTTTTTGTACATTTATCTGGTATATAACTACTGTCTCACGACAGTAGCTATACCAGTCGGCTATTGTTGCCATTGAGAGGCAGCCTTCCGTATCTCTCTCCGGATCTTCAAATATTACATTGTCATATGACCATCGGTGGGCAAAGGCGTACATTAAAAAGTAGACACGCAGCATCGATAACTTCACGTTTTCGAACCACGTGTCCTTAGCTCGAGAAACTTTCGAGCGTGCCCGACAGTTGCCTTTAGTGCATATAAATTGGCCAACATTCTTACAATTGCCATATGTAATTCGCATCGGGATGCGATGATGGCGGCACATTTTATTTTTAGGGATCAGGCCATGTTCTTCTGCGAACTCCACACATTGCTCCCGAGTTTGTAGCTTTTTAAAAAGCATGGTCCAATTCGGCATTTTTATCAATTCTTCCGCGTGCAACCTCCTATGCTCGTATACTCCGTCGGTATAAACAGCCTCAGTCTCGGATGACGATGAAGCGCGCGCGTCACAAACGGCACTAGTTGACGGCTGAGGGTTATTGTCTGCCATCTCAAATAAAAAAAAAGGTCCGTATATGAAAGCAAGGGTCGTCGTTCTTGAAAGGTTCGTAGTCCAAATGCAATGCCAGGTAAAATCGTCAAAACAGGTACAAGTCACAAGGTACAATGCAAGGGTCAGGTTGGGAGCAAATAACAAAACAAATCTCACGCACGAAAAACAACGACGCCAAGAGCACAAAGGCAATGGAATGAACAATTCTATCATATAACATTGACAGCCAGTGTTTCCTTTTTTTTTTTTAAAGCAAAGATTTACCATATACAGCCAAAAAAATTTTTAGGTCTGAAATAACACGCGGTAAAAGGAGATGCAACCATTATGTTGTCTCTTTCTAATGCTTTAGAATGTCATTATGTAAATGTCAAGGGCCGAAAGCCAAAACAATACTGTTCTATACGATTCCTAGTAGTTAACCTATAAAACTTAAAAAATTAATTTCTCGAAAACTATAAGTTTCCGCAGAAAATCCTTCTAGCATTTACTTCAATAACCTGTTACCTACCTATTAAAATTAAAATTATCACGAAAATCGTGCGACCGTAAACTAAAGCACAGCCTAAAATAGATAATTACCTATTTTAACAAATGTTAAGAATTACATTTTAATAAATTTTTTTGCTAACTGAACTTTATGTTGACGGTACTTGCATTCACATACATCCAATCTATTTACGCGATATACTACGTACATTTCAAGTCATCCCGACCACTCGAAATATTTGTACTAATAAATCAAGTTAAATAAAAGCTTATAAAAAACATGTAAAGTACTTACCGACGATTGGCTGCTATACCCAATCATAAACTTCATAGGCTTTTGGAATAACACATGTTCTTTCAACGAAGGCAATCTTTGTTTTTTTTTTTTTTTTTTTTTTTTTTTTTATGTGAAATTTGCCAAACGAGCAGACGATTCATCTGATGTTAAGTGAATACCGTCGCCCATGGACATCTGCTATAGCCGAGGGTTACAGATGCGTTGTCGACCTTTTGAAAATTGGGCTCCGGCTACCTCAATCACCAGACGAAACGCGAAAGTATTTGTCATACTTCTACTTTACCAGCACTGTACCAAGGCCTCATAAAACACCAGCCTTCTGTGAGGTCGTGATACTTACCCGGACGGACCTGCCCAATCGTGCAACAGCCGAGGCTGCTGCGTGGCCCGACCACCGCAAAAGTAATTTACAATTGCAAGCTTTGCAAAATGCAACATGAGGATCCTGTTTAACTCAGAAAATTCAGGAAAAAAGCAAAGGATCTTTTTCCCTTTCAGTCAGTTCCCTTGTCAGTTTCTTTAAATCCTCTAAACAACTTCGTGAGTCACTTGAATTAAAGAATTAAAGAAATGGCTTCGATTGGCATCTATATATTTTACTGCGTCTGAAATAGTGTAGATAGAGCATTCTGAAGGGCACCTATAGGACAAAACATTTATTTTGGGATGTTGACAGAGGCAACTATATGTGACATTTATCTAGTTTTGAAGCATCTGTAAAAATCAAGACCCAGTCTACCCATTTGTTATTTATAAGTGAATTGAATTTGTTGTTAGCTTCTACAGATTTTTTGTATAACCCAAGGTTTAAAATGATTTTATGCCTGAATATAAGAGAATCATAACTAGCAATAAATAGTGGCTGGTTTCCAATTGAAGGGCAGATGATTGCAAGGATTTTTATATATTGAAACTATTAACTAAAAACATTCAGAATTGTTTAAAACGAAGTTAATAATGTGTCAAAAAGAAACCCGCAAAGACTTGTTCCAAAAGACAGACCTAGATCAACAGAATTTAGTAATAGTTGTTTGATTGGCATGAAAGTGCCGAATGACAATTTAAAGAAGTTACTTATGTGGTTAACTATTAATAATTTTTATGACTTCAAATAATTTTTTATGAAAATTCAATATAATATTATGTGACATTTAATTATTGAGAATTTTCTTATAATTACATTTTTGTTCAATTTATTTACATATTAACATTAGTTGATGACATTAATATTTTGCATGCTATTTATAAATTAGCATAACTTGTAGTTCAATATGAATGATTACGTAACGTAACACCTATACCATGTTGTACCTTAGATGTAGATAGTATAAAGTACGAACCATGAAATTGTAGTATAAATACCATAATTATAGTACAAAATGCAACTCTGCATTCGCGACAATCCTAGTCAAAGACCACAGTTTTTTCTGTTCATTTTTATCTTTTACGGCTTTGAATCAGTTTGAATAAAAATATCGTTTTTGATACAATTTCTATATTCAATTTTATATCGATATATCGGAACAACATGTATCGGACAAATCGAATTTAAAAAAAATATCGATATATCGATATTTTTTCGACATCCCTAAGTTGACGTGACGTTTGAAGCAAAGACTACACTAGGGATGGATTATACTTGCTAAATCACGTACCTGGTCTTAGAAGTACGTTCACCTTCACATACCAGGTACAAAACCCAGGTATCAAAATACTTTCAAAGTATTTTGTGTCCAACGCAACGAGTCGAATATTTGTTTCCTTGCAAGTTCAAACCTTGTAGCTATACAAATAAGATACAAAATATTCCAATCAAGACGTAAAATACTTTAAAAGTATTTTATTTCACGTATAAGCACAACCTGAACCTTATATGTATGGATATGAGGTTATCTAACCAAGTGAGAGAGACACACCAGGCGAGACCGATATGCATTGCTTTGTCATCGCACGACGCACGTTCATTCGTTCAAAGTTCGATTTCGATCGACGTAGTAATACTTACTTTGAAGGGCTCGTATACTTTAATGGAAAAATACTTTCAAGTCTTGCAAGTATATCGGATCAGTACCTGGTTGGTATACTTGCAAGGAAATACCTGGTAACGTAAATACGCACCATCTCTACCTTAAAGTTAATAACTTAGGTTTGTTAGTATAAGATCTTTGGTTTGAAGTCGTTGAATCGATCTGACTTTCTTAAAAGTCGATTTGAGTCGGTTTGATATAGAGTCACCTCGAGATCAGGCTCGCGATACGATCTCACGTCGGTCTCGCGGCAATTCGCTACTACTAGCGAATTGCCATACTTTTTATATTAATATAAAAAGTCTAATAAGTCTTCGATATTATTCGCTATTATTTAAAAAAAAAAAAACAAACAAAATAATCAGCGACCAGCGACTTGTGAAAATTTCAAATTTCAAAATTTGATCTGTCGACACCGATATAGAGGCGAGATCGAATGACGCGAATCGTTATGTTTCTTTCTCACTCTGACTGGTTCATTAGTTATCTCGCTAGCTCGTTCGAATCGTTAGGAGTTGGTACAGTAGGTAACGAATTGCCGCTGCTATACTATGGTGATGGTGAACCGCGAGCTCGAGCTGACTCGAACTCGAACACACACAGATCGACTAAGAAATTCAGATCGATTCGACGACTTCAAACGTCAGGTCAGGTCTAATCGCCATACCCATTCGATACGCAAGTCGATTAGTCGACGCGCCCATTGCTAACAGTACTAATTTGTTAAGCAGTAAGCGGAGCGGTATAACTAGAAACTTTCACTATTTTTAAACGTCACATAGCGTAACTAACTGCATTCCATGACGCTCCAGTTGCTTCGTGTTATATGTAACCGAATAATAAATAAATTTCCAAATAACAGATATTACAATATTAATTGCCACTACACGTTCTTACGTAGCGAGCACCGTTATCCGAAGCGGGTGTTATACGAGATAAGACGCGGGAGGGGGGTATATTACAGCGCGGGTGCGGTTGCGGCGCGAGTTCACTCTGTCACTCGGTCATTACGGTATTTTTCTGTAGCGTGTCCCACATTAACGATCTTGAAAGAAAAAGTGACAATGCCTGAAAACAAACCGTTCCAACGACTTCCAAAAAATGTCGTGCCAAAACATTACAAATTACATTTGATTCCTAATCTTGAGAAATTTACGTTTAGTGGAAAGACCGAGGTGAAAGTATCGGTAAGATGGAATTTCATCATAATGTCGTTACTAATATCTTGTTTCCATGTGACGCACCTAGACAACGTATTATCTTTCAGATCGTGAATTCAACGAAAGAAATAGTCCTCAATTGTCTGGATTTGGAATTGACGAGCGTTAAATTACAATATGAAAACGGAGGGCCTGATTCGATGCTTAAACCTGCGGAAGTGCGGTTATCAGCACCGGATGAGACTGCAATTATTGCATTTGAAAAGCCCTTACATGAGGGCGACGCCACTCTTTATTGTGAATTTATTGGTGAAATCAACGATAAAATGAAGGGTCTGTACCGGAGTAAATACTTAACCCCAGGTGGCGAAGAGCGCTATGCAGCCGTGACTCAATTTGAGGCAACAGATGCGCGCCGATGTTTTCCCTGTTGGGATGAACCTGCCATTAAAGCCACTTTTGATATATCATTAGAAGTTCCAACTGACCGTGTAGCATTATCAAACATGCCTGTGAAAGAAGAAAAATTACTCGGCGAAAAAAAGATGGTACATTTTGGTACAACGCCAGTGATGTCTACATATCTCGTGGCTGTTGTGGTAGGTGAATATGACTATGTGGAAAAAACATCTCGAGATGGTGTCCTAGTAAGGGTATACACGCCTGTGGGCAAAAGCAAACAAGGTTTATTTGCACTAGAAGTGGCCGCGCGTGTTTTACCGTATTACAAAGAGTATTTTGATATAGCTTATCCTTTGCCAAAGATTGATTTAATTGCTATCGCAGATTTTTCTGCTGGTGCTATGGAAAACTGGGGTTTGGTGACATATAGGGAGACTTGCCTTTTAGTTGATGAAGAGCATACATCAGCAGTGAGAAGACAGTGGATAGCTCTTGTTGTTGGTCATGAACTAGCTCATCAGTGGTTTGGTAACCTTGTCACAATGGAGTGGTGGACACACCTTTGGCTGAATGAAGGATATGCTTCATTTGTTGAGTTCCTATGTGTTAATCATCTTTTCCCAGAATATGATATTTGGACACAATTCGTCACTGAAACATATATAAGGTTAGTAAAGTACTTTTGTGTGGAAAAATAACATGGATTATCTTTTTGTTTAAGTATTTAGTTTTATAATTCTAGCCTACAAGCTCCATTTGATAAAGCCCTCAGTCCTATTTGCTCATGTTTACTTGATTATAAATGAACTTCAATTACAGGTTTTGTAGGTTATTAAGATTTTGACTGTAAATATTGATAAAGAGGTCTTTTGCACTAATGGATTAATTCCTCTTCATTAAATATTTGCTTAGTCATGTATGTTCACTTTGTGAGGACTGATGGAACATTCCCACTATTGAAATAAATAGCGCTGTTAACCATGACAATCATTTTGCAGGCATGGTAATAATTGTGTTTTTGTTGCATACACTCAAGATTTTATGCAAATTTTTTTGTAGAGCACTTGAATTGGATTGCTTGAAGAATTCACATCCAATAGAAGTACCCGTGGGCCATCCTTCAGAAATAGATGAGATATTTGATGATATTTCATATAACAAAGGAGCTTCTGTGATACGCATGTTGCATAGATATATTGGGGATGATGATTTTCGCAAAGGCATGAATATTTACCTTACCAGACACCAGGTATTTGTACAGCTAAATTTATATAATTTTAAATTAAAAAAAAAACTGAAGTACTTACTTTGTACAAACATTTGTTTTCACAAACTGCACAAAAATTTTAAACTTGCTTATTAAAAAATTTCTAATTAACACCATTCATTGGTATGCGGATGGCAATGCAGCTTAGGCCTTATATACCAAGTGGGTAAATATTTCTCAAGAATAAACCAATAAGTGAACACAGCTTAGCATATTTTCTGCACAGAGAAAATCGTCCTTTTGAAAACTTTTCCCATTGTTGTACAGACAGACTGATTAGGAATTCTTGGTGTTGACATCTTACATGTTAACAGGTTCTAAGAAGCCATGTCTCCTAAGTTGGGCAATTGTATTTTCTCTTTCACAATACTAGCTCCTTTTATTGGACTGCCTCCAATATTTTTGCCTACTTGTGTTTTTATTGTATTTATCACGTGAAGAGCACTGAGAATTTTATTCACTTTGATATATATTACTAAGTTTCAACACCTTACAATGTGTCAAACTGCCAAATACTATTGATACCATCTTGATGGCTTAGAGACCTTCAAGAAAGAGCCTATTGGTACCTCCAAATTTTTTTCATATGCCACTTCTTTGTTGTTGTGAGAATCCATGGATGGTCGCTTTTCATAATAAAAACCGGCCAAGCGTAAGTCGAACTCTCGTACGTAGGATTCCGTACCATAAAATATTTACTTATTCTGTTTTTCAGTATTTATTGTTATAGTGGCAAACATAAATACATCATCTATGAAAATTTCGACTGTCTAACTATCACGGTTCATGAGATACAGCCAGGGCACCGACAGACAGCCAGTGGAGCCTTAGTAATAGGGTCCTGTTTTACCCTTTGGGTACGGAACTCTAAAAAGGATATTTAATTAACTATTTATATTTTTTATTTAATGCATCTATCAATAATATTATAATGAGAGACATTTGGATCAATCCTAAACATTTTTATTGTATCTAGTAATTAACTATTTATGCTAATCTGATGTTACTGAGGCATGTTTAACTTGAGGAATTTTTGTTTTTCAGTACAAAAATACTTTTACAGAAGACTTATGGGCAGCACTAGAAGAAGCTTCCAATAAACCTGTAGGAGCTGTTATGTCAACTTGGACAAAGCAAATGGGTTTTCCAGTAGTGCAGGTGATTCCAATTTTAATTATGTGTTATGAAATGTTTTTTTCCTTAACAGCTACAAAAATTATTATTTATTATATTAAAATAAAATTTAGATGTGTTAAATATTTTTATGCTGAGTAAGAAGTACTTCAATTATATTATTAAAATTATTTTAGGTGAGCTCTGAACAAAGGGGAAAAAACCGTATCTTAAAGTTGACTCAGCAGAAATTCTGTGCAGATGGTAGCCAAGGCGATGATACATTATGGATGGTTCCAATAACAATATCTACGCAGGAGGAACCTTCAAAGGTAATAATAATTTTGATAACAATATATATATATGTGAGATATCAAGGTTATCAAATAGATTTCAATGTTATCAAAGAAAACAAATCTTTTAACTAATCAAATTTGGATTACACCAAACACACACACACACATTCACATTGACCCACTTTTGATGACATAAAATATTTTTACAGCAAAATTTATGTATAAAGGCATTCAATTTTAAAAAAAGTGTATTCAGTTCATAAGAAATCTATATAAAAGAGAAAACTCACAGGTATTTTAAAAACAACCTGCATAGATCTTTCACTGCTAAATTGATTGTGACTAAGATTCAATTTCCCTGTGAAAGATTTGTGAAGTAAAATTATGATTTTTCTTATCTGAATGGGACAAGTAAAATAAGAGGATTAAAAAAATGCAATCTAGTTACTCTAATGTATTTGTCGTAATAAATATAGCCGTTTTAATTGCGTCATATAATTTTAAAGTACAAAAAAACAGTATGAAAATTATAATGAAAGCAACAGTAAATAGTGTTGAAACTATGACATTCTGTAATCAGGTGTACAGTTATTCATAAAATTTTTATTATGTAGATCTGTAATTCTAAATTACACTGATTCCGCTTCGTGCTCTCGTACGGTACGGACTCTAAGACGGAGGGCTAATGCCACCCGAATTAGACGCTACTCGCAACTTCGGTTGCAATTTAAATCTTTGTGCAAGCAGTGCAGTAGTTTACTGTTAGTGTTGTGCTCGTAGGCAGGTTCCTGTTCTGTAAGTAGAATTCTATACACACTTCTCGCCTCAGAGGCGGCATTGTTTTTATTTAATAGCAAGGTGGGGAGGCCTATTTAGTAACTTACACGCCGGCGGGGCGCAAGCCCCAAAGGCTCAAGCGCTCGAAGTGGGTTCCCTCCTAGAGGAATTCCTTCGCCAACGATGTCCCGAAGTGTGGGCAAACTTTCTCGCGTTCGCGAAAGAAAAATGTTTTTAGTCGTCGAGTTCGCCAGCGACAGCCCGGCTTCACCGGCAGTCGCCTCGCCGTCATCTCCGGCGCCCTCAGCGCCCGCTAATGCGTCGCCTTCAGCGACACAAGAAAAGCCCGTCGCGTCGACCTCCGCCGCCGCGATCGTACCCATCGCGCCTTCCGCGCATCCCATCTCGGCCCCCTTCCGCGCCGTCGTTCCCGACTCACAATCGGACGGCGGATCGGACATGGAGGTCGAAACGACCCCCGCTGAAAACGCGAACGTCGACGGCTTCACCGTCGTAAAGTCGCGTAAGAAGGGCAAAAAACGCCCCGCTGCCGACAGCGACCCCGAATGCGAGGCCGCTTCGACTAATCAACCCACCGCGACGCCCGCCAAAAAGGCGGCTGCGGCGGCTAAACCGATGCCCGAATTCGCCTCCGAGCGAAAAATAAAGCCTCCTCCACCCATCATCATTCAGGAGAAGGCTAAGTGGCACCAAATTTCTTCGTGGTTTGAACGCCACAATATCCGCGACCCCCGGTCGAAAAATACACAAATGGGTATCCGCGTATACCTTGACACAACGGACGATTTCCGCCGCGTAACGAAATACTTGCGCGAAAATAAGATAGGTTTTCACACCTACTCTTTGCCCGAAGAACGCAAGCTTCGGGTAGTTATCAAGGGCGTCACCAAAGAGTCGGATGTCGACAAGGCGAAAACCGACATCCGCGCTCAGGGATACCCTGTGCATGCCGTCCGACAACTCAGACACCCCAGAACCCGTGTCCCTATGGACATGGTGATGGTTGAACTTGACCCTACCCCGGAAGGTAAGGCCATCTTCAACCTGAAGAGGGTCTGTGGGCTCAGCGACCTCGTGATCGAGCCCCCGCGAAGATCGGGAGTTGTGGCGCAGTGCCACAACTGCCAACACTATGGCCACACGGCTAATAATTGTTTCGCTCACCCTAGGTGCGTCAAATGCACCGGTGACCACGGCACGCCCGATTGTACGCGGCCAAAAGATTGCGCAGATCCACCGGACTGCGTTAACTGTCATACCACCGGCCACCCGGCTAGCTACAGGGGCTGCGCTAAGGCCCCAAAAAACTCCCGCGAGAAAAGCTCCCGCGAAATCTACTTTGCCCAAACCCGCGCCCGTGAAATACGTTCCCGCGCCCGTACCCGTCGTAAACGCCTGGGCGAAAACCCAGGTGGCCGCGCAGGTAGTTGCGCCCCCGGTCGCCTCACGACCAATCGCTCAATCGCAGCTTGTAGAAGCCCTCTGGGCATTTACAAGCCAACCATAAACTTAACAGTCCGCGCAATAAAACCGCGCTCCGCCGCGTCGTTAGTTAGAACTCATAAAAAAACTTTAATGGGAAGTACAACCGCAGGTAGAACAAAACCTCGGGCTCTGGTTGTTTCGTATTTCAACGCAAACGGCATAAAGGGTCAGAGGGACGAAATCGCGGAATTCCTTCGCGATTATAACAGATATTTTTCTAGTGCAAGAGACATTCTATCCCAGAATCGCAAACTACAACATAGTCCGCCACGACCGGTTAGCAAACCGTCTGGGAGGCACCTTAATTTATTACAAACGGTCCTTGCACTGTAGCCCGCTCGACATTCCAGAGCTAAGCCATATAGAGGCATCCGCGTGTAGGTTAGCGCTCACCGGCCATAGGCCGCTTGTACTAGTCTCAGCCTACCTCTCGGGGAACAAAACCTTATTACAAAGCGACCTAGATACGCTACTCAACTTAGGCCCTTCCGTGATAATTGCAGGAGATCTAAAGTGCAAACACGGCTCATGGGACATCCACAGCATCCCAAATAACAACGGAAAGCATCTCTTTAGCTTATCCGATAATTTAAACTTTAGCATAATTGCTCCTGCGACTCCCACTAGGTATCCTACGGTGGACAGGTGGACCCACACGCGACACCGAGTATCCTAGATATCATGTTACTCAAGGAGGTCTCGCTCGACATCGAGTCGATAGAGACAATCCATGAACTAGACTCAGATCACAGGCCCGTCCTGTGTAAACTGGGCCAGAACGCCGGCGCGGTCCCTCCGACCAAATCCGTAGTGGACTGGCATCGTCTTGAGGTCAAACTCAAGGCCTTGGACCCCCGGACTTAGTCGGACCTACCCGAGACGATAGCTACGTTCGATGACGCAAATCGAGCGATAGCAAGTCTCCGAGAAACCATCACTTCCACAGTCGCAGACTCGGAACGGACGGTTAAACTGTCGGGCGATCGACGGTTTAACTTTCCGCCCAACCTGCGACTCCTAATTAGGCAGAAAAATGCAGCCAAACGCGCTTTCGACCGATACCGATCGGAATCGAACCGAACCCTACTTCGACGCCTTCAGCTAGAAGTCAAAGATCGTGTATCGGAACACCGACATACAACGTGGGACACTCTCCTAGAGGACATCGAGCCATCGCACACCGCCTACTGGCGGTTGGTCCGCAGTCTGAAAGCAGACCCCCGCGAATCTCTACCGCCGTTAGTTAGACCTAATAGCGCTTCAATAGCCCTAGATGACTCCGAAAAAGCCGAATGCCTTGCGGACAACCTAGAGCAGCAATGTACGCCATCGCGCGAACACATCGATACAGCCCACCTAACGGAGGTGGACCGCGTAATCGAGATTAGGGCTGCGCTTCCACCGGAAGGCGATCCTTTGAATTAAGTGACCCCCGAAGAGGTTTAAGATATTATTAAAAACTTAAAACCCAAATCCGCCCCGGGCCCAGATAATGTTAGTAACAAAATTCTTAAAGCTCTCCCTGGGCCGCTTATCTGTTTACTGGCGACCATTTACAATACTTTACTCTCCAGTTGCTCCTTTCCAGACGACTGGAAAGAAGCCAGGGTTATCGGCATTCGCAAGCCTAATAAACCAGCCAACCAGCCCTCTAGTTATCGTCCCATCAGCCTCCTCAGTTGCCTGGGGAAGCTCTACGAGCGGCTTTTATTAAACAGGCTCAATGAGCACGTGTTTTCCAACGGCCTTCTGCCGGCGGAACAATTCGGCTTTCGAGCTAGACATTCCTGTCCCGATCAACTATTCCGCCTAACGGAACATATCCTAAAAGGCCTAAATCATCCTAAACATATTAGTACAGGGGCTCTTTTCTTCAATGTCGCAAAAGCATTCGACAAGGTCTGGCACAACGGCTTGCTTTACAAGCTGTACACATTCAAAGTGCCAGATAGGCTCGTACACACCATCCAGGCCTTCCTGTCGAACCGCTTTTGCGACATCGAGTTGAAAGCACCCTCTCCACAAGCCGCCGCCTCACGGCCGGCGTACCACAAGGCTCCTGCCTCTCACCTTTGCTCTTTACGCTCTACACGAGCGATATACCTAAAGACCCCCACGTCAATCTCGCGCTTTTCGCGGATGACACGGGGCTCTTTTATTCAGACCGCAACCTTAGACAACTAACCACTCTACTCCAAAGCGCTGCCGACCGCCTCGGCGATTGGTTCCGCAAATGGAGAATAGAAATAAATCCCGAAAAGAGTGTGGCGATTCACTTCACACGAAGTACTTACCCGTCACATCTTTATAATGGCCCTCGTCAATGCAGAAAGTTGGGGCAAATATCCCTTTATTGCCAACCGCTCACCTGGGAGAAAAAGGTCAAATACTTAGGAGTCACTTTCGACTCGCGTATGTCATTTACTACGCACATTAATAACGTTCGCAATAGAGCCGCGTTCGTCTCCGGCCGGCTACACAATTTAACTAACGCTAAAAGTAAAATGCCCTTAAGTCACAAATTATTATTATATAAGACCTGCGTACGACCTATTATGTCTTACGCATGCATGATCTTCGCCCACACGCACCCTACTCGCTTGTACAAGTTGCAAATAGTACAAAATAAGTTCATCCGCCGCGCAACCGGTGCGCAGTGGTATCAACGCAACGTCGACCTGCACAGCGATTGCAGACTCCCGACGATTCGCGAATATTTTAAAGACCTGACCAAACGGTTCTTCGATAGAGCCGAACATCATCCCAACCCTCTGGTGGTAAGCGCAGCAAATTACCAACCCGACCAAAACGCGAACGTCAACAAGCGTCGCCCGCGAAACGTCCTAATCGACCCGGTCGAGGAAGGGGACTTAGACACACCGGACCCACTGCCGGGGGTCCCGCCGGACAACACTACACCCACAGTTAGTGCAACAACAAACACACTAGTTCGCCCTCGCCTCCGAGCACGGCGAGACCAACACAACGCGTACACAAGGTACACCCGCGTTCCAGGGCGGTTCTCACCGCCCCCAGCCACCGATTAGCTAATTGCACAGTCGACGGCCATCGGGGTTTCGGTCCGAACCACGACCTCGATGGCCCTTAGATGACACACCATAGTTAAACGCACGCATGAGCACATGCGTGGCCCTACCCACAGCGGAGGGCCCAAACCCGTGGGTTCTGGCTAGCCCACTGGTTCTGCGTCAGATGAAGCTTTAATAGTCTCGGGACTGAAAGCAAAAACATCAGTTAATACAAAATACAAGTAAATTACACTATGCCTGAAAGTAACTGCAAAATTAAATTATTATTAAATATATCCACTTTTATTAATGTTTGAAATTAATATGCTACAATGTAAATAGAAGTAAAACTACCTGGTAACTCTCTGGAAAATGTTTCAGGTGTGCATGTTATTTATATATCTAAATTATATAATATTTATAAAACATCACTTAACAATATTTTTATATAATTTAATATTATATTTACATTTATGGTATTTCGAATTTTATAAGTATACATTGATTTTAATGTAGAAACAATATCTAATATTTTTTCATATTATTTTCTGTCATTATTTTCTTTTATTGCAAAAAATCAGGAAAAATAATAAAAACACGTAACGAAGAAATAGGTCAACAAATTGAAGAGAAAATTATGTAATTCAAGTTTAAGGTCCTTAAGTACTGCCGGCCTTGCACAAAGCAGAAGCCGCGCCGCCCGCGTTACCCGCCCTACTCCGTCCTTCTCTTTGACCGCCCGTTAGCACCTTATTTATTCCAACTTTTCCTTTATACATCGCCGACTTAGAGGTTCAAAACTACTATTATATTTGCAACTGAAATTATCTTACCTAACTAGGTTAAGAAATAATATAGTAATATAGTTAAGAAAATAATTTATTAATTTATTGTAGTTTTGGCGTAATATTTAATAGCAAACAATATTTATTCAGGAATTACGATTTTTACTTAACTTACTACTTAAAAAATGTGTAGATTCGTCTTTGCCCGTTGACACACCATTCTTTTAATTTCTTACCATAAATTAAAGTCCACATGTGTTCTACCTATCCATCGTTCGCGGAGTGTTTCCTTAATGTAATAATATAAGTTAGATTAATTTGAAAAAAAAAAAAAAACACTTTTTGACATTAAAGCGATATGAGGTAAAGTGGCGCTCTTCCACACTCGTCAAATCCAACAGTTTTGCGATGGAACATTTCTTGAGTTCGTACTACATTGTGTATGCGAATTGAGATGGTACAGTAAAACCAATTGAAAATATTGTTGACCTTTGATACATTCTAGCTTGTACGTTGTTTAAACAGTGCCTCAACCACCTGAGGTTGAGGCACTGTTTAAACAATTTAAGCACTTAATAAACTGCAGTCCAAAAAGTACCAAAGCAAGGAAATGCGCGCGCGACATTTCGACCTATTTCTTCGTTACATGTTTTTATTATTTTCATTATGTATTGTAATGTGACCACAAAATATTATCCTTAATGTTAACTAGATTTTTGAGGATTTCTATTTATATTAATAGTGCATAAATAATCTTTCATTAACATAATTTTAGTCTTAATGTAACTAGTATTATGTATAGGGTCTTAGTTTAAAAGGATGTTCAGGAATTCAATTTCACCCTGTAATGTTTGTAATTTAAATTCATCTTCAAACTATATTTAATATGTCATTATATTATATTATTATTATTATTATTACAATTATAATAACATCACATTACTAATATATTATTACAACATTAATTTTGTTTTTTATAATAATAGTAACAGACCGAACAGACGTTGTTGAGAACAGACCTAATCTAAACCATTCTTGAATCCACCTGAACACACTCAAAAAATTTCATTAGAATGAGTTCAGTGACATACACACATACAGAAGAATTATATAATATGAATATAAAGATCTGGTATAAATGGTTTACATATAGTACACCATTTATATCTTATATTAAAATAAAAGTGGCACATAAAAACAAAAATTATTCATTTGAAACCTGGTTCAATCATTCATTTTACATTTGTTATTTATTATTATTAATTATAAATCATCAATAAAGGATTCTTAATTACATTAAATCAATTCTCAAATTATTCAATGAATTGCACATATCTTTTTAGTTAAATTAAAATAAACATTAAAAGAAACATCAACAACAAATTTAAACAAGAACAAATACCACATAATTAGCTCAGTCTGTCTAAATTAAAAACCATATATTAATACAATTGCAATATTTGTATTTAATCCTCCATTCTCCTCTATATTTCATATTTTAGAATATGTGGTATGTACTGCGGTTTCTATGGTCAATATATAGTTTTGTTTTACAGGTGGCACTGTCTACTGTTTTAGAAAAAAAAACTCAGGAAGTGGTACTTGAGAATGTGTCAGAGAACTCGTGGATTAAACTTAATCCAGGAACAGTAAGTTTGTAAAACATGTAATACAATTCTTTGTCAAATTTTAAATAGTACTTTTGTTGATAATTTGTTTCCAAGTCTTTCTCATTTTGAATCGGTTTTTGACCATATGAAATAAATATTTTTTTTTTCTAACTTAGGTTGGGTACTACCGTACACGCTACCCACCTTTAATGTTGGAACAATTAGTAACAGCTATTCAAGATGGATCATTACCACCTCTTGACCGTCTTGGCCTTCTTGATGATTGCTTTGCCCTTGTTCAAGCTGGTCACACTCAAACTGCAGAGGTAATTATAACTGATTTAAAAGCATAATTAATTTAGTTATGTATTGAAATGAATATCATGATTACTTTGGCCATATTAATAGCTAGTAATATTATTATAGCACAATTAGTTTTATTTCTTCTTAGATATTTTTTTTATTATTATTTATTTCTTCTATAGCCTTCAATTGCCACTCTAAAATAGATGTTATAAATAGAACATCCAGTGGTTTGTACTAACATAATAGAGACAAGTCAGTACAAACAGATCCAGCATATAATAATATAAGTGTCCTTCCACCTATGAAAATTTTTCATTATGCTTCCACAACGCAATTAAGAGGGCTTCACAAAGATCTAAAGGGATTTTGGCAGTGAGCCTGAAACTATCATTAATTACTAATGTTATATGTTTTAAGGATGACACTGTACTCACAGTATTAAAATCATTAGACATCTCCATTAAAAAATACTAAATTTATTTTCTATTATTTACTTCTGCTAAGTATAAAAGTGTGTTTGTTATTTATTAAACATTTTTTAAATGCGTACTTGGCTCAAGGACTTGGCTAAAGGCTTTAAATATCAACATATTTTACACATCCATGACTGTTGAATTGCATGCCAAAATATGTTATTCTCTTATTGGCCTAGATAGAGAGATTGAACACTACCCTTATGGTGTATTTAAGCTTGCATGATTTAAATATACTATAATAATTTAACTTTACCCCAGCTACTCTACTGAAAACAGCTTACATCATATTATGTTTTTCTTTTTGTTACAGTCATTAAAGCTCATAGAAGCATTCAGCAATGAAACTAACTTCACAGTGTGGTCTTCTATATCCAATTGTTTAGTGAAGCTTAGTGCTCTTTTTTCACAAACTGCTTTGGATAAACCTCTGAAGAATTATGGACGTAAACTTTTCTCTAACATAACAAAGAGGCTGGGATGGGATGCTGAAGAAAAAGAAAGTCATCTTGACACTCTTCTTAGAAGTTTAGTTCTAAATAAAATGATCAGCTTTGAAGACCCCAACACCATAAAGGAAGCTAAAAGCCGGTATTTATTTTAGATCTTTCTCCAATTAAATTGTTTAAGAAAGAAATAATAATATCATTCCATTATTTTACTTTGACTGTATAGAAGTTATTTAATGTACAAAATTATGCTTATTTAACATTTTAATATTATATCTGTAATAACTGAAGAATTTTTTTTAAAAGAATATTTTTATTGATGTACTGTACATTTTTAAAATCTTTTGGTACCAGTCTGTTCAACTCTTAAGGCCCATTTACACGATGCCATTTTCTTGTACATACAAGAGCAATAATTGAATGCAATAAATTGCGCGCAATAATTGTTTAGACCATTTGTTGTTTAGACCATGCAACTCATTTATTGCTTCAATTTAATTGTATACAACAGGCAAGATACTGGCACCGTGTAAATGGGCCTTTATGGTTGTTTATGTTTGCTGGTAAATTTTTCTTCAATGCCTATGCAAATATTTCTTCTTAAAATATAATACCTTTAAACAAGCAATGCTATATATATATATATATATATATATATATATATATATAATCGGAATCTCGGTAACGGCTCCAGCGATTTTCGTGAAATTTAGTATGTGCGTAGATTCGGGGGTAAAAACCGATTTAGCTAGGTTTCATTTTTAGAGAATGTACTTTTATCCCTGTTTTCAGGGAATGAAAAATATCATTCCAATATAATGGTAAATTTCGCCGAAAAATTTTATCATAGCTCGGTCGGTAATCGGGTGGCCTCGAAACAGAAGACCGCGGTTCGTGTCACGATCATTTACACACTTATTTTTTTTACTTTTTTTCTATACCAGATCATTGCTTTCTTTATTTTTTATTTGTTTTTAATTTCCAAAATACACAATTTACCAAAAAAATAAACCGAGCAAAGCTTGGTCCTCCAGGTACTATTATTAATACAATCAATGATATTACAATCCTGACTACCAACTAAATCTGCAAGGTTAACTTATAAAAAGGTAATTGGAGTGTATTTTTATAAGTTGGAGAATATTTTTTTGCAGTTTCGAGAAGCACATATCAGGTGCATGCACACTTCCAGCAGACCTGCGATCTGCGTGCTATCGTGCGGTGCTGGCTGAGGCTGATGAGGCAATGTTTCAACGTTTCCTCGAGTTATACCGTGCGGCCGATCTGCACGAGGAGAAGGATCGTATAAGCCGGGCGCTTGGTGCAGTCAAAGATCCTGTTCTTCTTAAGCGGGTTCTTAACTTCGCTATATCGGTCAGTTTTATCTAAATTTTTCATGAGTTGTATATTGTTGATTATAGAATACTATATCTCCAAATAAATTGTAATTGTTTACATTATGATTTTGTAGTGAATAACTGACTATGTATTATGAGTGAGTATAAATGACTTTGGTAGCACCAGTTCGCTGTTGTGTGCTGTATGTGTACTTTTTGGGTGAACAAAAAGCATGAAACCCGCGTCATCATCACCGAAAGCTTTCCCTGAGCTATTTTAAAAAAATATATAATTTTTAAGTTATACCATTCAAGTTTTGTATTAAAAAAGTAATTGAATATAAAATTTATTTAAAAATTAAAAATACCTCAAGTATTATAATAATATAACGGGATGCGGTCATTCTTTGCGTCCTACCCATGGGGGCAAATTTGCTTCTCGTTGGATGATCCAGATGCCATTGCTGACTCTGTCACCATTGTGGTGCTTCAGGGTATGGAACTGTTTATCCCATTTTCTGCAATACCCATCGATGGTAAATTCCAGCCTTGGTTTGGTCGTTCCTGCAAGACGGCATTACGCCGAAAGTGGGAATGCTACCGAGCCTGGGCTGAAGCTTCGGCGTCTAGTGATGTAAAGACAAGCGCATTAAAAAAAGAGTATAACTCTGCTTCTAGGTCCTACAAAAGCGTTATTGCTAAAGCGAAGTTGAAGCACATTAGCAGAATTGGCGAGAGATTGGCGCGTCTCCCATCGGGAATAGATGCGTTTTGGTCTCTCGCCAAAGTATTCTTAGGGAATTTCTGTATGTCAACTTTTCCACCCCTGCACACGGAGGATGATTCGTTGGCCCACGTCTCGAAGGAGAAAGCCGATGTTCTGGGCTGACTCTTCGCGTCCAACTCAACTTTGGATAACCGAGGAAACTCACAACCATCAATCCTCCAGTGCGACGCTACGATGCCGGAGGTAAAATTTCGGCAAAGTGCAGTTTGCAAAGCACTTCTTTCCTTGAACATTTACAAGTTGAGTGGGCCCGATGGCATCCCTCCGATCGTGTTGCAGACATGTGCTCCAGTGTTGGCACCGGTTTAACGTGTCTCTTCCGGCACTCCTATACTTTAGGCGTAGTCCCGAAATCATGGAAAACCGCTTTAGTGCACCCAATCCCTTAAAATCCGTCCAATTACAGGCATTATATCCATCACCTCGTTGTTCTCCAATATAATGGAGTCTGTTATCAACTGCCAGCTCCTACGGTACCTAGATGAGCACCGGCTGATTAGCGACCGACAGTATGGCTTTCGACGCGGTCGCTCCGCTGGTGATCTTCTGGTCTAATAGGCTGAACTGAGGATAAATAAGTATCTCCATATCATACTGATAATTTTATTCATACAGGATGAAGTCCGCTCCCAAGACACTGTATTCGTCATAGTGTCAGTAGCTGTTAGTAAGAATGGCCGTGACCTCGCTTGGCAGTTCTTCAAAGAGCACTGGCAGGAATTTATGGATCGGTATCAGGTAAGCATGCGAAATGCTATTCCAAATCGTCCACTAGATTCATATGAATCTCCATATCCTACTGATAATTTAATTAACACTGTGATATACAGGGAGGCTTTTCTAAGTGTATCCATTTTCTTAAATTAAATTCTAAACATAAATAATGTTATATAAAAAATGATAAATATTTAAAATCACTCCTAATTAATTACATTCATTTTAACTTATGCGTTTTTTATATGCAACTCATTTATTTTACGCGCGATCATTCATAACTAACACGCACACAAGTTCGTTTCAAAAGTACTACCGCATTGTCAACAAGTTCTGTTTTATAAGGAATAGATTGTCATTTAAAAAAAAAATAAAGTTTGTTTTTATTTCAATAAACGATTATACTACCGAGTCTGAACCTCCTCTGTGAATTTGGGCACCTTTATAAAAGCCACGCTGTATTTCTTATTATATGGCCATTAAATCGTAACATCGTCGCAAAATAATGTATTAAATTACAGGGCGGATTCTTGCTGGCGCGCCTTGTGAAATCGACAACTGAAAACTTTGCGTCGGAGGCATGCGCTCAAGAAATAGAAGAGTTCTTCCGCTCGCACCATTCCCCGGGTACTGAGCGCTCCGTGCAACAAGCGCTAGAGACTGTGCGCCTCAACGCCGCATGGCTGCGTCGCGATCTTGCTTCCACCGACGCCTACCTGAAGCCTTACCATTAAATTGCATTTGTATGTGTGTTTTTTAAGCAATTATTAAGTCCTTTTGGGAATGTACCCACTGGGCTTTATCTTTGTAGTTGTACAACTAAATAACCACAGATTAAACCCTCCGTAGCCGTAGCGTTATAGTAGCCCTCCGCTCCCTTGTAAGAAAAAAAAGCCATGGTAGATCGCCTTTCCCCCATAAATTGGCTTGCGTATTTAATGATGGCCCCTAAGATGCCTGATAAGTCTCATCTAATCCTTACCCATGAATTTTATCACTACTATGTTATGTTTTGTTGATATAGATACTTATGGGTTTTTCTTTAAATTTAATGGTTTGTTTTTTTTACAGGACCAAATGACAAAGACTGAAACTACAACGAAATTCATTGTAATGTTTCAATTGCAGATTGGTTAGCTATTTAGAAGATTTATTTATAATCATTGTATTACTACTGAAAGTTATCTTGATACCAATTATATTAAAAATATTTACTACATGCAAAATAATCTCAAAATTAAATTTAGCAACACATAATTAAGGGTACTTTTTGGCATCAAATAAATTAAGTAAATTCAATGATTGTCAGGCCAATGGCAATACACAAGATATATTTTTACATGTTCTTGGCACATGTATAATGTTTACATTAATTATTGCGAGTCATTTATAGATTCCTCTAAGCAGTGTTCATAGTACAAAGTTAATAATTAAATACTGCTAAAGGAAATTCAATAATATAAAAATGTTTTGCCAAACAAATTAAGCCAGACAGCACTTTCTTTTTTCCTCTAAAACTCACCACTAACAATTTAGTTATATCCATACCACCTTAAATTTTATTTTAATATTTAATTCTTGCACATCCACAGAACTATGTGGCATGCTGTGTAATTGTGTATAAATATTAATTTATCTTAGATTTATGTTTACAAACTAATACTGGTGGTGCTAAGTTTGGTTTTGTTTTTGTTTCATTTTTATAGTTATAATTTTGGGTATTGTTCAAAACGCTAGATTAGATTAAAATTAAGATTTTTCATGGTCTAAGGACCACTGTGCAATAGTTTTTTTTATCAACATAGTATAATTAACCTTACATATGAAATGAGTTTTATTGACAGGTGAGGTCTGTAAAAGAATGTGATTTATGAATATATAATTCGAAGTTACCATCATTTTATTCATTGTATCATTGAATTTGTTTTGTAAGACTGTGTTATTTCAATAAAGCGTACAAAAGTACCTGTACTTAACTAGTTTTCTTGAAACTGACGATTACAGCTTTATGCTTATAACAAGGAAGGGCAAGTGAAAGGAATGTAATATTTTTAATCAGTATCGATAATTATCGAGTATAGAAAAAACGTTATAATGTCATTTTTGAATGATTATTCATATATTCAAAATCATACAAATAAATAATAGAGAAAAATATAAAATTGATAAAAAGTTCTTATTTATTATGATAAATTTATGGTATATATATTTATTTATAGGTATGCCTATATAAACAAAAAACCGGTTAACGAAACCGGGCTCGTGCACGAATAATTCCATACCATTATCGGTAAAAAATAAGAGCCCCAATTACATTTTGTATTCTGTTTTTTAGTATTTGTTATTATAGCCGCAACAGTAATACACCAACTGAAAATTTCAACTGTAACTATCACGGTTCATGAGATACAGCCTAGTGACAGGCAGACAGACCGCGGTCTTAATAATAGGGTCCCGTTTCACGGAACCTTAAAAACTGCCCTTTTGGTCATTCTACAGTGGGAACCATGCATGTCAATAAATGGTTTTGGTTAAGTGACAAATTTTTAAATCCAGTACCGTCTGTTTGATTAGCTCGAGAATCGAACCCCTTGAAGCCTTAATCGCGCGTATGTATTTCACTGCACAGACAACGGACCACCGCTTATTTATAGAGGAAAGAAATTAACATACATACAGTGCAAAATTTCTTTTCGTACGACAAAAATTGACGAAGTTATGACAAAATTACTAGCGAAGTTCACGGAGTGGCCGCAACGGTACCTGTGCCGTCTCTGTGACGATCGCCGCCAAGCACCAGTTGGTTGTTGGCAACTATAAGGCGAAATTACTAGCGAAGTTCACAGAGTGGCCGCAGCAGTACCTGTGCCGTCTCTGTGACGATCGCCGCCAAGCACCAGTTGGTTGTTGGCAACTATAAGGCGGAGTGTTTCGTTAGGTTAATTATTGAGACTTTGAAACCAATTAAATGTCCAATAGTATTTCGTTGTAAAAAGAAAGGATAAAACTCCACTCTGGATGCGTGCTGGAGGGTGCAGGGTACAAGCCGAGGGGAGTCACGGGAGAGGGGATTGTTGGGATTGCAATGCGCCGTTCTCCCTACCCGAGCGGCGAATGTGGCAACTCAGCTATAATCATTTACGAGATTTACGATTTCAATGTAATGCATCAACAGGTCTTTGTGTCTAATATATTTACTTAAAACTCATTCAAAATATTCTATAGTCTTTTCTTAAACTATGGGTTTGTCAATTTCTTTAAGGCTTTTGAAAATTACACTCATGAGGCAAAACTCTCTTCTTCAGCTTTAGCTTTTCTCCAACCAACTTAAAATTAAAAACGTAATTTTCAACATCTTCTACTGGAAAATAACGGAACAGACTGAGCTGTTGCATGAATGCGCAGGCCGTTCTAGGAAGTAACATGAAGACACTTCTATTTCACACGGGTCTTCTGTGAGAACAAAGAAGACCCGACGAAACGCAGAAGTGTAACACTTCCACTTCACTCCAGTATTCTATGAAGTCGTGACCCGCATGGACCTGCCCATTCGTTTAACTGTGAAAACTATTGTGTGGCCATACCGCACTGTCTTGTAGCCTGAGCAGTGTATGTACGTTTTACAGCGCAATAACGTTTTTGACAAAATTTTGGATCTTTCAGCACGTTAAAAATAGCGTTTTAATAGAAGTGTTTGTACAATTCAGCACTATAAAAATATTCATAGATTATAAAAAAGGTGAATTGGGCACAAATCGGACGTTTAATCAGTTTCAAAGTCGGTCGGGTGAACTAGCCTAATAAATAAATAATAATATCTATTAACGAGGGTAAGACGTATATACTGATATGAATATATGATGAAACATATATACCGGGCTAACTGGAGGCGACCTTCACAGTGACGTCACATGCACCCATGTACATTGACTTTTAGCGGGAGGAACGGTGAATGATTCTTAACTTATAACTTCCTAAGTAATAATCTGATTTGGATAATTCAAAAAGATATATAGTTCGTTATAAAGAATAATGTGGATACCAGTTTTATTGAATTTGCTATAACTTGACTGATCCTTCTCCCTTGCATACGCACGCTTCCAGTTATATTGCTGCTGCCTGTCGCGCTCTCACACAAGGGGAGGTAGGGCGGCGCACAATATGACGTCTCTGTATAAGGAGCCGGGCATAGCAGCTTAAAAAAATCAAAATATTTTCTTTCAAAAAACTAAAACTAACATCTCGTTCTACGAAGTAAGAGCAACCTATACAGCATATCGTTACAACCGCGACAATAAATTAACACACGTCTAACGCTACCTTGCCAATAATCATGAAAAAATATAAAACGTTAAAAAAATCCAAAATTAAAGCAATATATTTTTCAAACAAACTAATTAAATAAAAAAGAAACAAAATTTGTAACACCTATAAAACTCACGCCACAGCGTCGCATTACAAGCCTCTCCTAGCAGTATGTTTTGTCTCTTTTAAATTCATTCAACCCATTCATAATCTTTTTGACCTTTACAAATGAACTTTACGTTACAGTTTTATATGTAAGGATGTTCTAAAATTGTTTGTTTTGGAAAATTTAATAACTCGGTAAATATTGTTATTTGAAGAATGTAAATGTTAAATACAATTTTAAAAAGTCATCCTCTATATGTGTGTTCATTTATTGTCGCGGTGGTAACGACACGCTGTATATCGGTTCAGTAGTTTTGCGTGAAAGTGACACAGACAGACAGAGTTATTTTCGCATTAATAATATTAGTATGGATAACTGCAGTATTTAGCTTCTTTTTATACGAAGGCGCTATTGTGTACAACCATTACTCATGGTGAACAATGGCATCGCAGTTAGTAACACTTTCGCTTAACTGTGGTCGTCGGGTTACGCTCCCATGGCACTCCCACTTGTTTTCTCTATTTCGTGGTCATATCTATTGTATTAATCCTGTATGTAATATAATTGGTTTTATGCCATGGTAATATGCCCATATTTCATTACATGAGCAATAAAGAAGACCATAATGATTTTGTAAAAATCGTATGGCAATCTAAGTGACAATATAGCCAGTGTAGCTTTTGGATTGGGCTTAGTAATGTTCTGTGATTGGGCCACTGTGCGCGCACACAGCACACAATCACAATATGTAAACCTGTGACAGGCTATGCTGTGACAGCGTCATCGTTAATTCGTTATATTCATCTAGTAATTTTGTGATCTTTTATTTTGCGTAACATATTTTTTTACTTTTAATGGTGCGGGGGACAAACGTAATAACATGGAAATGTATTGATTCCAATGAAATGAAGTCTGTTCAAGTCCGAGGTTCATCTTTATAGGTTTGTGTAGATCCGCATCGATTTTTTTGTTTACCGGAGGTTTTTTAACTATAAAAAACCAACTTTAAATTATTTATTTTCTGTCACATAATCATTGTTTTATCTGAGTTTCTGCTAATTAATTATTCATTGATTTTAGATTTTATACAATAAATTACATACACTTAAGTAATCGTTTAAACCTTATAACCTTACACGTTTCATTAATAGGAACCCACATTTTCATAATATTAACTGAACAATAGCCCTAATATTAAAAATATTGTATACTTGTTTTGCTATATATCTCAAAAATGTTTTTGTGTTGTGATTGGTAAAAACATAATTATTTAATCCTACTAATATTATAAAGGCGAAAGTTTGTATGTATGGTTGGATGTTTGTTACTCTTTCACGCAAATACTACTGAATGGATTTTAATGAAACTTTACAATAATATAGCTTGCACATCAGAATAAGACATATTTTATGTGTATCGGTCTTTATGTCTAAATGTTACACATTCAGCCTATTCTAAGCAGACATAGTCACAAGCAGCAGCTAGTTAATTATATAGATTAGGCTTAGTGCCAGAGATAATTTAAAGTTCCTGAAGTTTTAAATTTAAAAATTATTATATAATACATCGGTTGCATTCTTTCATTTTTATCAAAAATTGTTTAATTAATTTGGTTACTACAGTTTCCTTGTAAATATACTCCACTCAACACATTACAGACTTACATACTGGTAATAAAAAATAAACTTATTAACTTAACATTAAATTATTATCTTAAATAGTAAGTTAAGTCCTAAAATAGTTTCCGTAAAGAGTTAATTTCATAGAATTTGTTTGCCCTGTCATAGCTTTGCTCTATGACCTTTTGCAAAGCTTATGATGCTCTAATTGAACATTCATAAACATGATGGTTATCCTCCGTGTTCCCAAACACAATAACATATTTGTAACAGTAGATAGTGCATATATTCAATCGAAACATTTCTTTTATAACTTTAGCCACAATTCAAAAATCATAAAGTCCACTGGGCCAGTGACTTGATTATTAAAAAAAATAAGGTTATCTACACATATAAATTATATATATAATATAATATATATATATATATATATATATATATATATATATATATATATATATATATATATAATTTTATCTAAATATATGTATTGTATTGTATATATAAATTATTCATATTCACTTCTAATTCTGTTATGTTTTAGTCTAATGCCATTAATCTTTCCAAACAATGTTCTGTTATAGTGAGACAATAATATGATAATGTTGGACCCATTTTATTTGACCCATTTTATTTGATTTCCATTTGATCAGTATAGCGGTATTACAAGAATTGTCTCGGTGTTAACATTGTTGTTTCCGACTCAGCGCGGTGGCGGGCTGCGAGCAGGGTGCGGGCGGAGCGGGGTCGGCGGGCGGGCGGCCGGGGGACACCATCCGGCGCGTGCGCGTCAAGATGTCGTCGGTGTCCGCGCAGGGCGTAGTGGAGCGCGCGTCCGCCGAGCTGTCGCGGCGCATCACCGGGCTGGGGCTGCGCGGGCGGCGGCGCTCGCCCGGCGTGGTGGAGCGCGTGGCGAGCGCCCTGTGCGGGCCCGCGCACGCCGCGCCGCGCGCCCCCCGCCGCCGCCGCCCCGAGCCCCGCCCCCTCGTCTGGGCCCAGTTCGTGCTCGACGACAGGTTCCTCGACAAATTCTTCCTGTACTTCAACGCCGGCGAGCGGCGCGCCCTCGCCCAGGTGTGCACCAAGTGGCGCGACCTTCTCTACTCTTCGCCTCGCTGGTGGAGCGGCCTAATCGCGGTCCTCGACTGCCGCGAACTGCGCGCCGCCACCGGCTGTTGCATGCAGAGGTTCTACAACTCGATAGTTAGGAGGGGCATACGCGGTGTTGTGCTTGTATCCGCCACGGACGACGACGTTAACGAATTCATAAGGCAGTTCCCACTGTCCGCTCACCACATACACGCTATTAGTTTGAAAGGCTGCACAATAACGGATAGAGGACTGGAAGCGATATTAGATCACTTGCAGGTTAGTTTTGATCATTGGTGAAATGGAAAATGTGACATTCGTCGTTCGATAGACACGTAATAATAAAATATCTATTTTTAGGTTCTATTTGAACTAGAGTTAACAGGCTGCAATGAAATAACAGAAGCTGGTTTGTGGGCATGTCTAACCCCGCGGATAGTTTCACTCACGCTTACTGATTGTATTAACATTGCCGACGAAGCTGTAAGTATAACATTTGGAAATTATACCTCACTTAATCAATCTTTATGCCTTCGCGATGTTTTCGAAGCATTTAACAGCCCATTCGCGTCATTACATACTAACATTGCGCTACGGAAGGCGAGCTTAAATTCATACAGCCTAACTATTGATATGCTCAGCAACGAGGTTACAGTTTATTTATTATCGATATTATACAACGTTATTGCAGGTAGGTGCAGTGGCGCAACTGTTGCCTTCGCTGTACGAGTTCTCACTGCAAGCGTATCACGTGACGGACGCAGCGTTGGGTTATTTCTCGCCGAAGCAAAGCGCCTCGCTGAGCGTGCTACGGCTTCACAGTTGCTGGGAGCTTACGAATCACGGCATTGTGAATATTGGTAATGTCATTCGCGTTGAGTATAAAGCGGTATTTCTGTTACAGTAATAACAAATAATTAATCAGTTTTAATGTATCTAAATGACTGAAGGGGTGAAATTATTTCGGTATGCATCTGTAAAATGGAAATTATTGTCGACTTATGCTCAAAGAGTAAAACCAGTGCCTTCGATAGTGACCCTGTCTTTTGAGCCAGAGGGTGTTATCCCACTACTGGAAAGATATATGATATTGTGGCTTTTTTATCTATTAATTTTTTTTATGCGAAAAGTTGTCAAACGAGCGGACGGTTCACCTGATGTTAAGTGATTACCGCCGCCCATGGACATCTGCTACACCCGAGGGTTACAACCTTTTGAAAATTGGGCTCCGGCTACCTCACTCACCAGACGAAACGCGAAAGTATTTGCCATAGTTCCACTTTACGCTGGTCTTCGTGAGGTCGTGGTACTTACCCGGACGGGCCTGCCCATCCGTGCAACAGCCGAGGCTGCTGCGTGGCCCTACCACCGTATATATCATATTGTGTAATATTTATATATCTATAATATGTAGTACCTGGAGGACCGAGCTTCGCTCGGTTTTTTTTTTTTTGGTAAATCATGTATTTTGGAAATAAAAAAAATAAAGAAAGAGATCTGAAAAAAAAAATTTAATAAGTGTGTAAATGATCGTGATAAGAACCGCGGCCGTCTGTTTTGGGGCCGCCCGATTACCAACCGAGCTTTTATGAAAAAATTTTTGCGGCGAAAATTACCGTCATATTCGAATGATATTTTTCATTCCCTGAAAACACATAAAAGGAAATTTTCTAAAAATAAAACCTAGCTAGATCGATTTTTCGCCCCCGAATCTACGCACAATCGCTGCAGCCGTTTCCGAGATTCCGATTATATTATATGTCGTCGATTACGATAATTTAACAATAATTAGTAACTCAATTGATATTGTTGTAACGGGTAGGAGTGAACACCGTGACGTAACGAGTCACGTGATCGGAATCGTTTGGAGGGGGCAACTGTGACATTTTAAATATGAGAGAGCGGCGAGTCTGGGCGCAGTATTATGGAGTAACTCAGTTCATTAGTGAGAGCGATACAATTTGGACCTTCAATTGCCTGAGACCTACGCCATGAACCTTCCACCGGAAGCTCCTACCGAAGACTTATCGCAAATCTATCGCTGTCGCCGACATATATATACAGCGTGTCGTTACCATAGCGACAATAAATGAACTCACATATAGGGGATAACTTTTTAAAGTTGTATTAAACATTTAAATTCTTTAAACATCAATATTTACAGAGTTATTAAATTTTCCAAAACAAAGAATTTTAGAACACCCTTACCTATAAAAGCGTAACGTAAAGTTCATTTGTAAAGGTCACAAAGCATATGAATGGGCTGAATGAATTTAAAAGAGACAAAACATACTATTAGAAGGAGAGGCTTGTAATACGACGCTGTGGCGCGTCTTTTTTACTTAATTAGTTTGTTCAAAAAAAAATGATTTTTTTTAACGTTAATAAATTATTGGCAAGTAGCGTTAGAATTTAATGGTAACTACACGCGGTATATATATAAGAATTACTCGTTTAAAGGAGATTGAAAAGATTTTAAGGAAGATTTATATATTAAAGAAAAGTATGTTTATCTGTTATCTGGTATCCATAGTACAAGCTTTGTTTCTGGGACTAGATAATGTTGTGTAAATAATATGTCCCAATATATTTATTTTATAAAAAAATAATTTCCAGTTCACTCATTGCCAAATTTAACGGTGCTGTCTTTGAGCGGCTGCAGCAAAGTGACCGACGAGGGTGTGGAACTGTTAGCCGAGAATCTTCCTCGACTGCGCAGCCTAGACCTCAGCTGGTGCCCTCGTGTTACCGACAATGCGCTAGAGTATATCGCATGCGACCTCAACCAGCTGGAGGAGTTGACCTTGGATAGGTATTGCATTTTCGTTATTGCTTGTCGACATACCTTTCTTACACACCGCTTACCGACATACCACTTCTTCATTTATTATCCGTACGGCTAAGGAATGGAACAACCTGCCGCCGTCGGTCTTTCAGTCCGATTACAACGTAGGCGTCTTCAGGACAAGAGTGCATCCACTTAGCATCAACGGCTGCATCGCCACTTAGCATCAACGGCTGCATCGCCACTTAGCATCAACGGCTGCATTGCCACTTACTATCAGGTGGCATTCAATCGGCTATATAAGTACCGTACATTTAAAAAAAATGTACAGTACGATAAAATTATCCCATGTTGTAAGACCGTTTTTCGTACATAAATTTCACGCAGACAAACGCAACCCAGATCTGAAACAATTAGCTTAGGGTCACACAAATAGTTTGGGAATCGAACCTACGACCCTTTGCCGAAGCCTAACCACGGCAATACCTTGGGAACCACGCCCACCTTGGATGGATACGTTGCAATGTAACTTTCAATTTATCACATGGGTAAGGCCACTTCTGTTAAGGAAATGATATAAATATGTATATGTATGGATTTCTTTTAGTTATTAATTGAAATGAACAACATAACCTAGGGGTGATTATTCTGCTTTTCAGTGATGGTGAAATATGAAAAAACTATGTTCCTTACAGATGTGTGCATATAACTGATATAGGCGTCGGTTATATAAGCACAATGCAGTCTCTAGTGGCGTTGTTCCTACGGTGGTGTTCGCAATTACGCGACTTTGGAGTACAGCATTTGTGTGGAATGCGTTCACTACAACTCCTTTCATTAGCAGGTTTGTTATATTCACAGTGTACAAAATCAAATAAGTTCCAAGTTTTTAATACTACAATTATTGCTTTTTGAAAATATACTGCTTTATAAAAATTTATACATATGCGTGTTATTCAGTGATTAAATTTACATTTGAGGGCCAAGTCTAGGCTATATTGAGGACAATATAATTTCAATAGATATGTTTCATGATAAAATCAATAGATGTCTCATGAGCTCTTCTTATCATTGTTCCACAAATGACAGTGCTTTTTAAATATATTAATGAACCACTAGCATTTATTGCATTAGCATACCTGAATTAATAATTTCTAATCAATTTGTTACAAACATAAATTTATAAAACAAATCATGTTACACCTGCAGGTTGTCCACTCCTGACTTCTGGTGGACTCTCTAGTCTTATCCAACTGAGACAGCTGAGAGAGTTGGAGCTTACTAACTGTCCTGGCGCTTCACCTGAACTCTTTGATTATCTTCATGAACATCTACCAAGATGTCTAATCATTGAATAAGATATAAAGTGTTATATGTACTCTGACATTTATATATAAAATGTGCAATAATGTCCATTGTAAAAATTGTACATATACCTGTTGATTACAGTCAATTCCAAGACAAAACACGAAAAATAAAACAGTTGCCTTACCTTAATATTCTATACAAATGCAAATTTTATTACTAAGATAGAGTATTAAAGTTTGTTTATAGTCCTTTATTTGGAATATATATAAATTTTTATTATTTATTGCTAGAACAATTAGCTAATTACTTCTGGTCCAACTTTTATTTCAAGTAGAAATATAATGAATTGATTAATGTATTAATATGGTAACAATGCCAGATCAATTAATGAAAAATTAGTGGTAGAAATAGCACAGATCTCCATATATCACAGATCAGTATGGCAAGTTAGTCGCTTGTTTGCCACTTTGAATAAAAAATGTGTATGCATATAGTATGGATTAAATTAATCATGGAATATAGAAGTCTGTAACTTTTAAGGTCTTGGTTAAGAGGGGTGTAAATGTTTATTTTACACTTTATTTTTTTTTTATACTTTTTTTTTGAGAATCAAATATTTAAGCAATTGATGGAATAGATAACATTAAACTTTGCATATTGTTTAAAAACAATATGCAAAAAAAATGCTTAAAAGATAAAGAATAACATCTAATTAAAATGCTCAAAGTGACATAATATTACCCTAATTTATTGTTTGACATATTCTAGTCCTATTGAAATAAGGATATGTATATTATACAGGTAAATGTTTCAAGTAGGCATGGAAAGCTCAATCCGAAACTATCCAGAATTGCAAAAAATATGAGATAATCAGTTCTGTTTTAATACCTATTAAACCTGAACTTATTAGCTCAAAATTGGGCAAATTTCTTATTTTGCTTATGTAACCTACCTAGGTTACATAAGAAGAATAAAAAGATCAATGAGAAGAATGATACTATCAAAAATTTAAAAAATAAAGCAGTATGTATTTTTTTTTCTCTTAACAGATTAGATTCCGCCTAGTTTAGGATTTTGCCATCCAACCCAACTTCAAAAATTTACTGTTTATTTATATATACATTAGTTTCATCACTTTGTTTTATATCTTGTTATTTAATAATTACTTTTTTTATACTATTTCCTTAGATGTCTTGTTTTTTAAACAAATATTCAAATTCAAATGCCAGCCTTGTTATCACCAGTTACGGCGATTAGTTAAAGACGTAAACCTTTTTCAACAACAAATGGCACAAATACACAATCTGAACAAAGAGACTTACATTTCCGCCACAGTCTAATTTAAAATACGATTACTGTTAAAATTTTGTTATTTGTCCAAAATTTTTAACAGAGTTCTAAATAATTAGCAATAAAAATTATGTACAAATTTATATAAGAATATTATTTATATTACATTACTTAACTATTTATTATATAAATTTTTATTCACTATTAATTTACCAATAACAGTGCATGCCAATTAGAAACAGTCTCAAGTAATGCTGACATAAGTAAGGGAATTTCTTGAGCATTGACAGCTTTTGTAAGAAATTCTGACCTGGATATGGACTTTGTGAGTTACTGATTGTATTTATTACATGATATAAACATAATACCAAAATAATAGAAAAAAAATGTTTTGCAATGTATGCTATACAGGCCTGCTTATTTGCAGTAGTTTACAATAAAAAATATTCAAAATAACATTGCTCTTATATTTTTTTCTTAGGTTGTTTTCTCTGAAATTACAAATTATCAAATATATTAAGTCCAGAATATATCATAATATTAATATTCAATTTCTTAATTATTATTATTTACCATAATTATGTAAGTGTGTAAGAGCACAAATAAATATTTCAGTTTTTAAAATAAATACCCAACACAAATAAAATTAGAATGATTAAATAGGTAGTCATAGTCATATTGTGTTCCAAAACCCAAAAGAACACTTAGACTACTTAGAAGGTTTTTTGAAGGAAGAACTTTTATTTAATTTATCCAGATTGTAATGCCTGAATATAAAAATATACCAAACATTTGTATGTTTCTTAAGTTAAAACCTTAAAACATAAGACCTACTATTCAATACCACTGGAATTAAGATGAATTACATGTTAATTTAATTTTAAAACGAATCTATTTCTAGTTACGTCTAAAGACAGATCTAACCTTCATATTTTATCTAAAAATTTTCAAAAACAAAATATAAAATCCCTTGAAAGTAAGGATGTTTAAGTTCCACTTAAGTTCTTAAATGTTTTAGATGAAATATAAATGCAGCCAGTATTACTCTTATCATAATTAAATCCAGGTTACTAAATGTTTCTATAGGTTTAATTTTACTGGCTGTGTTTATAATCATAATGCTATACCGTCCGAAATTTGTATGCCTGATAGTGTGATCTGAGTGAATGAAAATTAAATGCTAATTTAGTATCAATGACCTTTAACTTTAAATAACATAGCCAAACTCTGTAACGAATCTCAAATATAAATATATGGATTAAAAAACATGTATGTATGTTGATATAACCATAGTGATATATTTATTTAAAATTAAATATGTTACCTCATGTAACAAATTATGTATTTTATAATTTGCATTATAAACAGAATTACTTTACTTAACACCTTTTCCATTACACTTTGTAATTCAATATGCTTTATCTAAAAATGTTTTCTTGGTACCTTTTACTCATTAAGTTATAAAAAGCCGAAAAAATAATGTGCTCATGAAATGTACGTCATATAATATTTCAGTGATGCTAATATTGTTATGCTTCAATTTAGTTTTAAGAATATAATCTAGTCAAATATGTGTAATAGTCATAGTTGCATAGCAGTATTAAAAATTGAGTTTGCCAGCAAAATTCTATAGAGAGCATTAGTAGTGCTAAGATGGTTTGTAATGTATGTACCTACACCAGGTTCCAATTGGATTTCCATGTTTAATTGCAATAATTAATTTCAGAAAGAGTGTATATATAGTTTCAGATTAGCCTTTCTTGCGGATAATAATTTTAATGTTTTTCTTTTGGTGGTATTTTCTTGCTAGAGGTGTCTTCATTGCTAGGTGGCACTGAGTGGCGGTGAAGAAAAAAATGTTAATTAAACCTTTTCCAAGTTTAAGTAAATATCCCTCACCACATAATTCTTTAACTTAAGAACCCATAGATACATTATATGAATATAGATGGTAAACCTAAATTTAACTTATGTTGAGTTAAATATATTCCAGCTTTACATCTTATAAAAATAGGACTACTGTATGAATAGATTTTTTTGACTTGTATGAATTTACATCATGAGTATGTAACTAAATAGAGCTTGCATTTTGTTATGTGGCATTTTTTAAATTTTAATGTGTATTTGAAGGAAAGGCAACACTGCATCTGACCTATATAAAAGATAGAGAGAGGAGATTGACAAGTTGTTATGCCTAGTTCAATAAAGCGCCAACCTCCCCCTACATATAATTACATAGCCATGAATTCTGTACTGTTTGTAAATTTATCAAGTTGATGCTACTAACTTCAAATTATCTGTATAAAAATCTATACCATATTATGTCATTCTATTTAATAGCAATTGTCTTCTAGAGTTTTCGTAATGTTTGATGTGATCTATCTTTTAAACTCTTTATGTAAATACATAAAGGGTATGTTAATGTGGTAGATTAATATTGTTAAAAAATTTGACTTAACCAGACTAGTAAAATGGTTGTAATAAAAATAATGAAAAGAAGCAATATAATGAATATTGTTTGTAATATGATACTGTAATTGTATTAACATTTAATGTGTATGATTTTCACGGCGCCAAGTTCCATAATGGTGTTAATAAATCTATTAAAATATTTAAAAAGTGGTTCTTTACATACATGATCCTTTTTGTTTTAAAAGCCAAATACTTAAACTTCCTATACAGTTGCTTTAACAATAAAAACAATTTATTTCTTTCATAATCTATTGATTGTGGGTTTATACAACTTTATTCTAGCGAGGTCAACAATAAGAAATAAAAATAACTTTGAACTTGATTTGTTAAGTATAGTTGATATATAAATTTAAATCATTCTTAATGACACCTTGGTATAAGGTGGTTTTATTTTTACTGAATATTCATTCCTGAATAACATATTAAAAACGTAGAAAACGAAACTCATTACATATGGTGGTGGAAGGCAATTGTGTGTTGTATCTTAATCAACATTACGTATAAACAAGTGAATTCTACTTTCTACAGTAGGTTAATAGTCTACCTTTCTCATAGTTTGATTGGCCCATGAATTAATTGTGCTAGTTTTTAATGTAAAATAAATAAATGCACCCAATATATGTACTAGGAATCCAAGGCCTTTGATATGTCAAACTAATTAAATAAACAAAAAAATTCAACAATCCAGCCATAATGGTTTTTATTATGGTTGGATAAATCATTAATCCTATTTATGATCATAGATTATAAATAATAACACTGACATAAAACTACAAGGTCAATTTTATTTTAAATATAGGTTTATATTATCGCATCTCGGCCTTTTGGCTAAGATCAAAGTGTAGGTTTATACCCTATGCATAAAGTTTAAACCAGTAATTTTATATTGAACATTTTGTTATTACATACTTATAACTTACTGATTTCATTAAGATACATTATATTCTCTATTTGGTTAACCCTTAGTTTTAAAGCATGGTACCAATTTATATAGTTCTGTTTTTCATGTTCTTTCTTACTTGTCTTTTGCTCTTTGCACAAATATATACTACTAAGGTTCTCTTTAACCATATTACTTATTTTACTATTAGATTGGAAGGTACATTGTCTTTGTTTTTCTTGGAGTTCAACTGCTGGGTTCTGCTTTTCACAAATTTTACTATTCATGTCATATTCTGTTTTGATTTTGCGTTTTATCTTTTTAGATTTCTTATGTTTGTTGTTCTTTTCCTTACACTTTTGTTCAAAAATGGTTTGAGAATTGCTTTTGTTCTTCATGTTAAAA